GTGGGTGTTCAGTGCAATCACTGTGTGAAAAAGAAGGTAATAAAAGCCAAAATATCAAATCAAACAGTATTTTATTTATATGTGTGTAACAAAGGGATAAAGAATTTAAATTCTTTGTGTTCGATACATACTAATTTACATTTAATCTCTTTGGGTTCTAAAACGATCAAAGTATGGGTACTAATCTGCCGACATCTTGATTTGTATATCCCAAGATGAGACGATTTGATTGGATATTCAAAAACGTCTTCTGTGTTGTTGATTTTATTTCCTTTGATTAAAATCTTATTGTGGCCGACTTTTACGCAGCAAATTTTAACAACCTCATTGCATCTGGTAAGTAAATAACTGTCTTTTTCTTTGCTGGAAAGTTTAAAATCTTCAAAATTTAATATATTATTGTTTTTAATTGTGTTCACAAAGGGGTATTTCTTGTCTTTATGTGTTTGAAAATTAATATCAGCTGTATTTTCAGCCAATCGTTTGGCGACTTGAGACAGTGGTTTTCTTCCTGATCTCAGCATACTTTTGATCATAAATAACATATTCTCGAAGGGATATGCGTTGAACGTCATCAGAGGGCCAAACATTTCAATTTCATTCGTCAGGTGTAGTAAGTTGTGTATGTTGCTTGTAACGTAGCATGTACCATAAAAGTCTTTGTAAAATTTTACAAAATGTTCCAGAAGTTCCTTTGCTAATGGCAATAAAGTTCGGTATGTTTCTGTTGAGCAAATTGTTATACTACAATATAGTGTTAAGAAATGATTATAAGCCTCATTGTTCATAACATCAGGCAAAATTACAATACTTAAATAATGCAAAAATGCTCTAAATTCTGACGCTTTCCAATGTGCTAATGAATCTAAACCTCGCACTGCTCGATGCACTTCTGAAGGCAATTTGCAGTTGCATAGAAAATTTGAAACCAGTACAATATCACTTGCCCGCATTTTAGTAATATATTTGCCAAAGTTGCCGTCACGCCAACCAATCAGTAATCTCTTCATAACACCCAGGTCGATCAAATGAAGTGAATCGGCAACAATAAATTGGTTCACCATGTCAATAGGAAGATTTAATAAAGGTGAGTCATTTTTATGATGCAAGCCATAAATTTTGTTTCTAAATCCTTCATTTGTCCTTTCAGGACACAAAGACTTAGAAAATGTGACGGTATGTGTGGTATGCGAATATTCTCCAACTGTAGTACATTTATGGCAGCCGTGTTTACCATTAAAATTGCAGACTCCTGAAAAAAAATATTTTAAATTAAGTTATAATAATACAAAAAGTTTATAATTTTTAAATATTTGTGTCATGTGCGAATCGAACCTACGGACCACAGAATAGAAGGCAGGTTCACTACCAACTGAGCTATCAAATATATATATGAATACAAGTCAAGTGCCTATAGGTAAGAAGCATCAATAATTTCAACTACTTATTTATCGGTATCACAGGTGCATAATGGCGATAATATGCGACACTAATATAGATTTACCTTTAATATAGGCTCTAGCTGGCGAGTCACAAATGAAGCATCTGATTTTTATCTTTATAGTTTTCTCTAAGCGCTCAACTACAAGACCTTCTTCTAATAATATCTTCATGTCTTTTACAAAATCTTCTAAGAATTCATTTAAATTTTTTGGTTTTCCTTTCCCGAAATAGATTCCAATAATAAAAGGCCGAATTCTGGGATTTTCAAAAATGTTACATAATATGGGCCAAAATTCATTTGTCGAACTTTTAAAAATAGGCAAACCGTCCACATTTATGTTAATTGAAATCATATCTGGAATATCCATCCAATCTTGCAAAATGTTCTTCAAAGGTTTTGCTATCCCATTGTGCCAGTATTGACCTCCTTCTACATTTTTTAAAGTTACATTAACGGGAGTGCATAAAAATGTTCTAGCATCAGACGGTATTGTTCCCGGTTTAAATTCGTTTATTATGCCTGACAATTCATTGACAGCGGAATGAGGAATACGATTTTCAATAGCCCATGTTTTTATTTTTTTGCGAAAGGTAAAATAATTGTCCAAATCAAAATTGTATTCACTATCACTAGAACTGCAATCGCCACACTCTGATATCTGCATATTGTGAAGGGAACTTTCAGGTTCAGGCATAAAATTTTCCTCTGCATAATGTACAGAACCACCATGAACAACGGTTGAAGTCGCACTTGTTGAAGCCTTATCCACGGGCTCATTTTCGGGCGTTGTTGTCAATCGACTGTTTATTTTTACTATTTGCGAATATTCTTTTGCAATTTTTCTTCTTATTCCACCGGTTCTCGCTCTTATTTTCCAAGATTTTGTATTCATTTTCACAAATTTTATATTGCACGCGACGTAAAAATGGCTTGGGGAAAAGTGTAATAGAATATCACATTCACATTCATGTTCAGCTTACAGCAAATAACAGTAGTACTTGTGGACAAATAAACTGCTATTGATGTTAATGGACATCACATATAGTCCTTTTAACAGCCTACAGTGCACATGCGAACCATTTAAACACTTTTATACAGATAGTAAAAAAAGGTTGTTTTAATTATCACCAACAAGTCCTACTACAGCTACTAGCTGTATAACAGTCTAAAATAAGTAAACATAACAGCCTTTGGCTTTATAAATGACCACGTGTGTTCTATTAAAATGCTAGCTCTATAACATCGTACAAGTAGGCCGTTAAACAGCGGTTGCCGTATCTCTACCCTCCTATAATGCTCTTAGTGAGACAGCTGACTAAAGGATAGTTGTTAGAGTATTATAACACCAACAATCGTATAAAAGTATAACTCTACACTAGTCTACACTCCTATAAGTCCCTTAGACAGGTATAGGTGTAATTAATTGCAATAATACAGCTTATACATCACGAGTGAACTGTACTAATGCTTTAAGTACACATCTATACTTATAATAAATCTGTAGAGAGGTCAATTCTGTACATGAAATATATTTTCAAAATAACTATCAGGGGGTGATTAGTGATCGATACTGATGCCAAAAATGCAATCAGTAAAATTTTTGTCTGTCTGTCTGTCTGTCTGTCTGTCTGTATGTTCCTTATAGAAACAAAAACTACTCGACGGATTTTAACGAAACTTGGTACAATTATTCTTCATACTCCTGGGCAGGTTATAGGATACTTAGGAATTCCCACGGGAATGGGCATTAGCGGGAAAATCCTTTTGTATGAAAAATTTAAACCGCTTAAGTTAGACGCTTGAAATTTGGCAAGCAGGTACCTTAGTAAACTTAAAGCTTAGTTATAACAGGATATTGCAAAATTCCTACGGGAACGGGAATTAGCGAGAAAAAACATTTGTATGAAAAAATCTAAGCCACGTAAGATAGACGCTTGAAATTTGGCATGCAGGTACCTTAGTAAATTTAAAGCTTAGTTACAACAGGATATTGCAAAATTCTCACGGGAACGGGANGTTCGTAGTCGCGCTATCGTACCGCAGCTTCTTTCGGCACCTTGTCTTCTCAGATAGACGTGATTCATTACTACCCAGGTTTTGTTATCGTCCACATAGCTTTGACTATGCTATCCCGCAAGAATATGGTGTGCCTTATGCTCCTAGCCACTACAATACAGTTAGAGCTCGAAGGATCCGTGCCCCGTCATGGAGCGATCGTTCGAGCAACCTTAAACTTCTGCACGAGTGCGAATAAGGTTCAGTGACCCAACTTAGCTATGGCGAGGTAGTTTATCAACTTCTAGACTACAGCACAGTCTAGCGAGTCTCACGTCAAACGGCCTCTCTGTCCTCCTAAGGCGGAGCTTTCACCTCGTTCTTCACGCTTCGTTAAAGCCAACGATGTAGCCCTGTAGACTTTCTGGGCCTGTTAAGGTCTTAGAAGATGGGCAGCGTTACCCTTGCCTACGAGGGTGATGCCTTAGATGGGAGTCCTGTACAGAATTATGCTTTTGAGGGTGCCAGTATAGAGCTCCCGGCCTTTCTTTATAGCCTTCCGACATAGAGTTTTCGGACCTCTAAATTAGGGAAGCAGCCACGAAAAAGCAAGCTGTCTTCCATACGCACGGCGACGAATTGGTAAAAGTGCGAGCTGCCACTGGTTATATATAATTAAGGTCACCGTATTTGCACTCACTACTTGGTGCCACTGGTGATTAACAGGACCTTACTCTTAGATATTTGATCTGGCCCTTAGCTTTGACAGTGATGTGGGCGTCAGGTGAAGGTGTCAGGGATGCTTTTAAATATAATATGTGGTCCCTTTTTTTTGTAATAATATGATTATTTTCTTAATATAGAGCCAATTGTACCTGAAGATTTTAAATTTTATTTCTATTTTTGATTAATATGTAACAAATTCTGATTCATATGGGCACAAAATATTTAAACGTCGATATCTTGAAAACTGCTTTACAAAAACGAGTCCCTTATCCAAATATATGTTATTGGGTGTACCTATTTTCATATGAGTCTATGTTACAGACCTAAAATTGAATTTGAAATTTGTCCATATGAATCAGCCGAAGAATGCAATTTCGAAGAAGTGCCCGCTACAGCTATTTATGTCTTCAGTTTGATTACCTCAAACCAAAAATAATATAACAAATGTTTTAGAAATAATAAAGAAAATGGAATTACCTATTTTTCCACTTTTGTTCAGCATTGGACGTCTTTTGTTTGAAACGAACGAACACACATAAAAAGTATGTCAATGAATTGGTAGTGTCAACAACCAATGAGGGTATTCGCGATTGAAAAATCCGCCAGGTGGCAATACGTAGACGCGAGGTCCAAATGCTGCATGATTAGTTATTTTTGACATGACATTGACAGATACATGTCAAAATCCACCAATCACGCAGCATTTGGACCTCGCGTCTACGTATCGCCTCATTGCTTAATATTATGTTAACCTTTTATTAAGTACTTACACTTTTTGAATTTAAATAGGTAGGTAGGTATTTTATTTATTTAAGTTTTGAATTTATAATTATAGACACACCATGTGCGGCCAGAGCCACAAACGTCTCTGTTGTATGTGTGTGCAATGCCACATACTGCGACGAAATCACACGAGTATCACCGCCAAGGGGCACGTTTTATGTCTACATTTCTTCTAACGTAAGTAACTACTTCATACGATACATTTTCCTGTAAGTACTGATACATTTTCATAAAATAACCTTCAAAATTAATTCTTAGTTACAATTTATACACTAGGAACGAGACTGGTCCCAAAGTGAAACCCTGAATTACACCCTTTTCCATTCCATATCCTATAGATAGCCTTTTAATTTGACTCTGCTTTATTTTTTCAGGCAGGATTAAGGTTCTTTAAAACGTCTGGCGTATTAAGTCAATACGGGCCGCGTAGTAAGTATTATTTTATCTTTTCGAGATATTCTTAAAAAAGTACCTTTTTGAAACAAAATAATTTTCGGACAACTTAGATCATCTAATTTTAACTAACTTCATTGGAATAAAATCAGCTTTAAACATTGGCATAGGCTACTACTACTACTACTACTTCTAGGATGTCCACTCACAAGGTGGACCGAAGACCGCAGGAAGGCGCTGAATGCAAGCCACCACCAACCGGCCATTGTGGAAATCATTGGGGGAGGCCTATGTTCAGCAGTGGACGTCCTGCCTGGCTGAAGTGATGATAATGATGATAGGCTACTAATTGTAAAACCGTTGAACCTACTGAAAACTAAGATGATTATACACTATGACCTAGAAATTCCTTTGAGTAATATACTAGTTTTTACTACAATAATCTTTTTAGAACCATACTGCACTACGGTGTTGGATCTCGACCTGTCTACAAGGCACCAGACTGTGGAAGGTTTCGGGGGCGCCGTCACGGACTCAGCTGGCATGACCTGGGCCAACATCAGCAATCCACAGCTAAAGGAGTACTTGATTAGGTAGGTGCAACCTACATCGACTTAGAGCGCTTTCACTATTTAGGCGATTTAACACGACAGACGCGCTGCCAAAAATTTCATACTAAGTGACAGCTGATGCCTCCCTTCACATTACAAAAACGCCGCCGCCGCGCTGCTGTCGCGCTGCTGTCGCGCTACTAACGCCCTAATGTGAAAGCGCTCTTAAAATATGTGAGCTTACTGCTGGATTAACTCATGCTAAAACTAGACCACTAGGTAGAAAAGCCGGTGAAGGTCGCCGAAAGAACCTGGATGCGGGCAACGCAGGACTGGTCGTTATGAAAATCCTTGGGGGAGGCCTTTGTCCAGCAGTGGACGTCATTTGACTGAAACGATACGATACGAAACTAGACCGCATGATCAGTGGGCTTAGGCTGGGTTGCACCATGTACGGGCGGGAGGCAGTGGTTGTAAGGCACCGCTCCCGTGCCCGGGATATGCGGTCAGGAAGGGAGCTAACTCCCTAGTGAGCCTAGAGTCCCTATTCCCTAAGACACTAAGTCCCTAGAGCCCTAGCCCTGCCTAACAATATATACTTAGACATAATAAGGGTTGATAGGAAGGAGGCTGTGCCCAGGTCGCCCAGGGCAGCAGCGTTAGGACGGCAGGTAGGCGGCGGGGACCCGCTGCCAGCCCGGCAGACTCACCGGACTGATCATAGCGACGGCTAAGGGTCCCTTGGCGGCAGCGGGGGAAAATGAGACACAACGACGGATGGTTGATATCTGTTTATTGTTATGATTCTATTGCTATTTATACATAAGTTATTTACTGTACACAATGAAACGTATTTGCTAGTGTGCCGTCGGTGTAGTGTGCCGACGGTGCACGTTGAGGGTTCATGGGTCGCCCGGCGGTCGATGCTGACGGTGCAGCAGGATGTACGATCGTGCTCGTACACACCATCTTACTTTAACTTTGACAAACGTTAAAATCTGTCAAATTCCATACAAAAAGCACCGGTTATCGTCATAGTTACGGTCAAAGTTAGGTGGTGCACTCAGCCTTAGTGTGAGTTTACATCAAACGTCTTCACTAGCGACTGCGTAAAAAAGTGACATTAAATATGTTTATCGGATTGTACAGTGCCCCTAGCGGAAACTTTCAAGAACTAAAATCTTCCTATAAATTTTTCATCGCAATTGACACCGAATGCTTTTAACGTAAATTCACACTACGCTCCCTGTTAATTCTATGCACATGTTATATTATCAGTCAGATAGGTGCTTTGTAATGATGCAGTAATGAATGTTTTTATGTTTGTCAAACTAAAAAACTTTGTAAAGTAATTACGAAAATAAATATGTAGTATTCGAATTTGAATATGCAATTATTAGTAGAAGTAGGTAATTTACGGTACAGAGCCTTAGTAGGTCTTTGACTTTACTTTTTTAACGCAGATACGAGGAGGTAAGAATTATGTTGTTTGTCGAATGGTTTTCTAATCAAAAATTTATTCAGGCTTACGCCCGTATTCGCAAACGATGCTTGCTTATGTGAAGCAGCAAATCGAACGCACAGCGTTGAATAGAGTTCTGTGATTGGTTCGTATGTCACCCTATGCCACACGAACTGTGAGACCTCATAGTAATGTTTGTGAATACGGGCACTTCGGGAATAATAACATAATCTATACTTACGATTATAATAAATCTGTAGAGAGGCCAATTCTGTACATGAAATATGTTTTCAAAATCGATCGATACTGATGCCAAAAATGCAATCAGTAAAATTGTTGTCTGTCTGTCTGTCTGTATGTTCCTTAAATAGAAACAAAAACTGCTCGACGGAATTTAACGAAACTTGGTACAATTATTCTTCGTACTCCTGGGCAGGTTATAGTATACTTAGGAATTCCCACGGGAACAGGAATTAGCGGGAAAATCCTTTTGTATGAAAAATCTAAACCGCCTAAGTTAGACGCTTGAAATTTGGTATGTATGTACCTTAGTAAACTTAAAGCTTATTAACAACAAGGAATTCCCGAAAATCCCAAGGGAACGGGAATTAGCGGGAAAAACATTTGTATGAAAAAATCTATACCGCGTAAGATACATGAAGGGGGATCCACGCTTACGAGGTCGCGGGCGGCCGCTAGTAATAAATAAAGATTTGATAAGTAGGTACCTAATTAAAAATATTTTTTCATACTTTTCAGATCCTACTTCGGCAATACGGGAATCGAATACAACATGCTCCGACTACCCATAGCCGCTACGGATTTCTCCCCGCGTCTCTACTCCTACAGCGATGAGCCAGAGAACCAGACCACGCTTACCAACTTCTCTTTGGCTCCAGAAGATTATAAATACAAGGTATTTTACACTACTGCTTTCCTCAATGATCTTATAGTAGAGAAACTCTTCTAGAAGTCCACGTTTTGTGAGATTGAATCCAAAGTACGAGTTTTTTATAGTGTGATGTCGCGATGTTCGGTGTCAATTAGTTCGTGACACCTAAAGTGGCCAAAAAGTTGACAACATAAACATAATAATAAATAAATAATAAATAAATATCTTTGGACAATCTCACACAGCGCCATCTAGCCCCAAAGTAAGCAATTAATATGCTTGTGTTATGGGTGCTAGCTTAACGGATATACTACTTATATACTTTTTTTTTAAATACATACATATTATACATAGCAACACCCAGACCCGTCACAGAAATTAAAATTCATCATTTCAATTTCTGCCCGGCCGGGAATCGAACCTGGGACCTCTCGGCATAGTAGTCCGTTCTGAACCACTACACCAAACATAATCTTATTCCAATTGTTACAAAGGCTTTTGCAAAATTTTTGGCTTCTTTGGGTGTCAAGAACTATTTGACGCTGACTTTACTGTGGTAAACCCATAACGTTTTCAGATACCAATGATCAAAGCCGCAATGAAAGTGGCGACAGACGAGCTGCATATAGTAGGGTCGGCCTGGGGCAGCCCTCTTTGGATGAAGACGAAGCCAAACTTTACGGGGACGGAGCAAATCAAGGAGGAGTACTACGGGGCATTTGCTGAGTACCATTACAAGTATATTTATTTTTTAAAACAACTTGATATATCATAAACTAGCTGACCCGGCGAACTTTGTTCCGCCTTAATGGCAATAAATAAGCAGACTTTTTTTTTATTTCGAACGAGATAAAAAGTATCCAATGTCCTTCTCCTGGCTCTAAACTACCTAAATCGGTTCAGCCGTTCTTGAGTTATAAGTGGAGTAACTAACACGACTTTCTTTTATTATATAGATAACTTAAAAGAAATGGACTGCCTAAGGCGTGAATCGAACCCACGACCTTTCGCTTGCCGGGCGACACCTCTTCCATCAGAGCTACTTAGACACTGGATGAACCCGTCAAAATTTTTAAGTGTACCAGCGTCCAGCGTTAGTTTCATCAATGATGGGTAGTAGCTACAATTAAACTACGATTCATCATAATCATCATAATGGTCTATCAATCCCCGCCCGCAGCAATGGAATGATCTCTCTAATTTACTAATGCGTGTCGTGCCATGCGCAGTGTAGGTTTCCGTAGTTGTCCGTCGTTACCACAATATATTTCAGAAGCAAGCAATTACTTCATCTGAAGTCACTTTTAATATTTTCTTCTAAGGATTTTATTTTATTAGGTATGAAATTTTATAATACATGAGTAAAACGACTATTACTCTTAAACTAACTGATCTATCTTAATCGCTATAGTTTTCCTTGAAAGTTCATAAAAAGTTTTATCATCATGAATTTTTCCAGATTTTTCATGCCAACAGTAACCTACTCGAACAAAAATTGGCACTTTAAACTTTAACATTTTGCAAACAGATCCTTAAATCGAAAAATGGTCTCACCACCCCCTAAGCCATTTTAATAGACCTATCCAAAGATACCCCACACGATGGGGTAGAAGATGAAAAAAATAATTAATCCCCACTACATGTAGGAGAACTACCGTAAAAAAGATTTTTTCAAAATTTTAATTTACCGTTTTGTCGGCGTGATTAATTATACATACCTCCACAAAATTACAGCTCCCTAGTGCCAATAGTTTCCTAGCAAAACCTCGGACAGACAGACAGACATATCGAAACTATAAGGGTTCCTTGTCAGGACCACGGAACCCTAAAAAGGGAGTATTTATGTAAAAAAGAACATAGTGTATTATGTGGAGTCTTCATTTCAGATTCATAGAGCACTACGCAGCCCAAGGCATAGATATCTGGGGTCTTACTACAGTGAACGAGCCTCTAAGCGGGCTCATGAGTTTAGGCAACAACAACCGAGTGACATGGACGGTACAAGGGCTTGTAAGTACTACATGCTATATTTGTTATCTGTTCTCTCACACAAATAATCTTTGGTGACGGTAAAATGTAAGATATCTATTAGTAATTAAATGAAAAGAGGTAAATGATCAGAAGCATTTTGTTGTCATCATAATTATTTGAGGATGTCCATTGTCCACTGCTGAACACACATAAGTAGGTCTCCCCCAATGATTTCCATAATGACTGGTTGGTAGCGGCTTGAATCCAGCGCTTTCCTGTTACCTGTGACGTCGGTCTACTGATCATGTCTTGGATGGATCTTAAGTCTACTTTGTCACGTACATATTATTTGCTTTTATCTAGATCGTAAAAATACGAATCGAATCGAATATCGTATAAATATTAACGTAGTTTACGTTAAGAAACAGACTAATAACAACCTTTGCCTCATTCATACGGTCCCCTAACATGGCACAACTTTCATCGGTCGTTTAGAATGACAGTATCATCTGGACCTTGAATTAGGACACAACGCTGAGCGGATGCCATTTTGGTTCACAACTTGTATGTGACACATGTACTTTCAAGCTGTATTTTGTACCAAATAGATAGATTTTTCATACTTTCTTTTTTTCCTTCTATCTTTACAATAGTTAACGAGCGTAGTTAGCGCTCTATAAAATTACATAATATCTGTCCACCACAGGGTACATGGATAGCTGAGCATCTCGGGCCAATGATAAGGAATTCCTCCTTCAAAGATGTGAAAATTTTGACTGGAGATGACCAGAGAATGTGTGTGACTCTATGGTTTAACTTGGTAAGTTAAGATTTTATTAATGTACTACTAGCGGCCGCCCGCGACTTCGTACGCGTGGATCCCGTTTTACCCCATTCATCTATCTTACGCGGTTTAGATTTTTTCATACTGTTATTTCCCGCTAACTCCCGTTCTCGTGGGAATTTTGAAATATCCTGTTGTAACTAAGCTTTAAATTTACTAAGGTACCTGCATGCCTTTCAAGCGTCTAACTTAAGCTGTTTATATTTTTCATACAAAAGGATTTTCCCGCTATTTCCCGTTATCGTGGGAATTTCGGAAATTCCTTTCTTAGTGCACTTCTACAGTACCTAAGCTACGTCCCTTCCAAATTTCAAGTGCCTACATTTAGCCGTCTAGGATGTGCGTTGATATGTCAGTAAGTCAGTCAGTTTCTCCTTTTATATATTTAGATATTTAGATGTATCAAGAGTAGAGTTTTATTTTAAAAAGGAATCCAACGATTTCAAAGTCACCCTGTATTTTATCACAGGTAGTCGTGGAAACCCCGGCAGCGTTAGACTACATAGATGGCGTGGCTGTGCACTTTTACTTCGATGACTTTACCCCGCCGGAGATGTTGACGGAACCATTGAAGAATTACCCGGGGAAATTCGTCATCTACACTGAATCATCTATTGGTGAGTTTCACTGGTGGGCCCACTGAAAACCAGCGCGTGGCCTTCCCCACCGTGGGCCACGGCATATGCTGAGTGGAGTCCCATTGCGATGGGCATTGCTGTTGCGATAGAATAGTACTGCTCAGTTCACTTTTTATTTCCTCGTCATATTTATATGCTATTTCTGTCTTTTTTCTGTATACGTTCTCTGTTCCTAAGTGATGTTCATCTTTTATACTTATAATAAATCTATACAGGGTGTTAGGTAAATGGGTATATGAGCCGACATCAGCCCATGTTAACATGGGCATATAACATATAATATGGGCGTAGGAATTTTGCAATATCCTATTGTAACTAAGCTTAAGTTTACTAAGATACCTGCATGCCAAATTCTAGCAAAGCGTCTAACTTAAGCGGTTTAGATTTTTCATACAAAAATATTTTCCCGCTAATTCCTGTTCCCGTGGGAATTCCCAAGTATAATATAACCTGCCCAGGAGTACGAAGAATAATTGTACCAAGTTTCGTTAAAATTCGTCGAGTAGTTATTGTTTCTATAAGGAACATACAGACAGACAGACAAAAATTTTACTGATTGCATTTTTTGCATCAGTATCGATCACTAATCACCCCCTGATAGTTATTTTGAAAACATATTTCATGTACAGAATTGACCTCTCTACAGATTTATTATAAGTATAGATAACAACCCTATCCAGTTGTGCATAAAATCATAGGCCTCTATTAAGTATAAGTGACTAAATTAATATTATAATGTTCTCTAATTACCGTAACGCAAACCGACTTAACGTTAAAAGTTGGCTGTAATTTTTATGTTGTATAGATTTGATCTACTCCATAGACAAGGTGGCTGACGACATAAAGGTAGCAGGGAAGCGCTGGATGCAGGCTGCTACCAATCGATCAACGTGGAAAACATTAGGGGAGGCCTATGTTCAGCAGTGGACGTCCTATGGCTGAAATGATGATGATGATGATAAAAGATTGTCTTAAGCTTGGCAAAATATCTATTCAATAGAAACATTCTGTAAATTTTGAAAAACTGCTTGTCCAAGCGAAAGTCCTAACCTAATTACCGTTACGTCTTCTGTTCGTGGTCATACCTACTAGCCTAAATAATAGTATTTGACACATCATTACCGCGCACGGCGCTAGCCCTTAGTGCCTTACCTTGTTAGCAAGTAGGTGTCTATTACGTTGGCGTCTCGTCGATGAATTACGTAAGTGTATAATTACCGCATCTTTGGTTTTAAATTTTTTTAATTGCCATGTCCTTATTTCTAAACTAGATTTTTAAAGGTTGCTCCACGTTGTTAACTTAAATAGAAGCAGTAGGTACTTTGGCCTCCGTACATTGTCGTAAGACAGTATTTGAATACCCTGTAGGTTTTGGAAATTTTGAAGAAAAACTATTACCTACAAACTGCACTCACCTAGGCTTTCTGAATACCTAATCTGACATCAACATTTTAAAAAGTTTCGTTAGAGTTTCCTCGAAATATATTCGATTTCATCTTTTTTCCAAGTATGGCACAACTTTTCTGAACGTGTGCCATGGAACTTATCATAATATCAAATTGACGTAGGGTTTCTTACGGTCCCTTCTCGTACTATCAGGCATTAGTTAGACATACATTTTTTTCTTCTTTCAGGCGTCGATAAAACCCCTCATGTATATTTTGGGTCATGGGATCGTGCTCAGCAATATGCGCGGAATATTATTGAGGTAAGTTTAAATACAGTGTGAGTCACGTTAAAGTGTACATATGAAAATAGATGAAACTAGACCTATTTTTATTGACAAAAAAGAGGTCAAATTTTTTTTGAGATTTTTTATATTTTTCATAGAATTTTTTTTCTTCCAATTACTTATTGTAAAGAAAACGTAATAACTTTTACACTAAGCGGTATATCCTGATAAAATGAAAACAATTATAATGCTAAATAACAGGCGATACTAAAAAAATACATAAAATACACAAAAAAGGCCAACAAATAATAAAAAAATATACTTTTTGAAAAACATCTGCTTAAAAATTCGTGTTTTTTTGGTTATTTGATAAATTTCTCCAAAAAATGCCCATGTAACTGGGGGTTTTTATTACTTTGTATTATTTTCTATCGTATTATTTTCATAAAACCAAAAATTGCATGTCTCTATCCCTATCACAACGTTTGCAATGATCGTTTGAACTAAGCCTCTCCGGGCGCGCCATTCAACGCTTCGTTAAAACAACGAAACCGAAAATGGCTCTAAATTTGTAAATTTTCAGTATCGTCTGTTTTAGCATTTAGCATTATTAGCATTTATTTTATCAGGATATACCGCTTATAGTTTAAAAGTTATTACGTTTTTTTTTACAATAAGTATTTGGAAGAAAAAAAATTCTATAAAAAAATAAAAAAAAATCTCAAAAATATTTTTGACCTATTTTTTGTCGATAAAAATAGGTCTATTTTAATCTATTTTCATATGTACACTTTAACGTGACTCACACTGTATATTTTATAAAGGGTGGTTAGTAAAACACCAGCAACCTCATAGGACTCAGATAGCTCGCCTCGTACATAAAACAATTATGACGTATTCTAGTAAATAAATTATTGAATGTGAATATTTTTTTTCCAATACTAGAAAATTCGTTATTTTTTTCATACTTAAACATTATTTTTAATAGTGTCTGAGTTTCTTGCGCTGCTTCTTCTCAGCACTGGCCTATTTATTGTCCTGAAGCAGTGGTAGGGTTAATACTGGGACGTGTAAAAGTGCTTTTTTAAAGCCTACTTACAGAAATAAATGAGTTTTACTGAGTTTTTACTGAGTTTTTTTTAAATAGTTCTGCATTAGCAAACGAGGGTCGCATCTTTATTTCGTTTAATAATGAGACATAGAGCAGGCCTGTTCATCTCCGCGAGTTTAAATTGAAAACAAAACAAGCACGATGGCACCCTACAGGATTACTATTCGACTGGGCCTCACATACGAGCGAGTATTGACTCACGCACGCGTATTCTTCTGTATGATGAAAAAAATAAAGGAAATGGTGTAGGTACTTAATACTGTGCAGTATTTCATTGCCAAAATAATGATAAAATACAGAATGTACTTTTTTAAGTTGCCTCAAGAAAGTGAGAGGTAAATAAGTGGTTAATATTATTCATGATAATTTATGCATAATCATGTATTTCCTCCTCCATTTTCTGCAGTTTGGCACTTCACGTCACATCATTTTACTGAAGTCAGCCCTATAGCTTCGGCGCAGTGCCGATCACTGACGTTTGTCAACAAAATGGTGCTTGACTCTTGAGACAGGCTAAATTACACCATATTGTTAATGACATTGAGCATACATTTTTTTAAATGCCTTCGGGAAGTAAAACTTCTGTACGTAGTACCAGGCCTATTCATCTCCGCGAGTTTACATCGAAAAAAAAAACACGCGCGATGGCCCACCTACAGGATACTATTCGACAAGGCCTCACATACGAGCGAACATTGACTCACGCACGCGTATTCTTGTGTATGATAAAAGAAAATAAAGAAAATGGTGTGTTAAATACTGTGCAGTATTTAACTGAGTAAATAATAATAAAAACACATGTAATTTTTTAAGTTGCCTCAAGACACTGAGAGGTAAATAAGTACCTAGTTAATATTATTCATGATAATTCATGCTAAATCATGTATTTCCTCCACCATTTTCCGCAGTTTGGCACTTCACCTCACATCGTTTTACCGAAGTCAGCCCTATAGCTTCGGCGCAGTGCCGATCACTGACGTTTGTCAACAAAATGGTGCTTGACTCTTGAGACAGGCTAAATTACACCATAATGTTAATGACATTGAGCATACATTTTTTAAAATACCTTCGCGAAGTAAAACTTCTGTAGGTACGTAGTACTTATTATTATTCTGTGGTAGTAGGTACTTATTATTGTTCTGTGCATAGACTAAAAATGTCACGACAATCCTGTGAAAACATAAAACTAAACTTGTAAGCGCTTTGGGTTTTCTGTACCTGTATCTAAGCTTATTATGTTGCTCATTAAATAAATAAATAAATCAATAAAAATATTTTTTATTTAGAGGTACTCGTATTTAATAAACGAAATAGAGATAAAATATTATACAAGTTTATGCTTATTCAAATTATATTTCCATATATCCAATGAAAACCATATTTTCCGCAGGATTTAAACTACAATGTCATAGGCTGGATTGACTGGAACCTATGCCTGAACCCTCAAGGAGGTCCGAGCTGGCTTTCAACAGCTCTAGACGCTGCCATCATCATCTTCGCCGAAAATAATGAGTTCATCAAGCAGCCCATGTTCTACGCTTTGGGGCACTTCTCGAAATTTCTTCCCAGAGGGTCAGTCAGAGTGGGGAAAGTGCAGTACTCGCCTTGCAAGGAGAAGGTGGATAGCGTGTCGTTTGTGACTCCTAGGGGGACTGTGGTGACTGTGCTACAGAATGAGTGAGTCCCTTTTAAATATCTTGCTATTTGGCCTTTCAGACTTCCACACTTTGTAAATTGCAATGACTTTTAAAACAAGGTGTATTTTTGGTAAAAAATAGAATGGATTATTATTTCTTCAAAGAAAGAAACTCTAACTTGTCTTATCTTAGTCTTGGAGAAATTGCAATTACAAAAGTGTGGTACTTAATTTTGAAGGTTAGTGTAGGCAGGAATTTTATTTTTATTCTTTGGAAAAATTTCGCATTAAAATAGGTATTAGGTACATCTGAATTAACAATTTGAATTTGAATGATAGTAGGTATCACCCGAAGTGTTTGAAATAAAAAACACAATTAAAATTTAAATAATACAATAAAGAAAGTTAAAAACAAAGAATTCGCTTAACACTAGGTCCGATTGCGGTTAAATACCTGCTTTAGGTTATGCATAAAAAACAGTTAATTTAACGTAAATAGGTACCGTACATCTCAATAAGAACAACGCAATAAAAATACTTTAATTAAAATAAAATCCATCCTGTATCGTAATTTGTAATTGTAATTATGAAGATAAAATAATTGATTAATGCAACACGAATCACGCTAGATACACAAACGTAAATATTATACGAGTATAATTCTATGTAATAATCTGAGTCTCTGTGTTAGGATTAGATCTTTCTTCAAATGATTACTTAACTAACACTGTTAAATATTTTATAATGAATTTTAAATTATAGAATACCACTTTATTAAGGAAAAAATGCAGCTGTAAATCACTCATAATAATAACATAATAACTGATAATAATGCTTGTTAGTAACGTTACCCGGTTGGTAGCGGCCTGCGTCCAGCACTTTCCTGCTACCTTTATGATGTCGTCGGTCCACCTTGTGGGTGGACGTCCCACGCTGCGTTTTCCGGGTAACATGGAAAGCATTGGGGGAGGCCTAAGATATTCAGCAGTGGATGTCCTATGGCTGAGATGATGATGATGAACTGATAATAATTCTTCTTTGCAGGAACTTAAAAGAACAGTCAGTGCTTATACGAGCTGGAAACCGATCTGCTTCAGTTCTACTACCACCTGAATCCATAGCGACAGTCGAATTTTCTTATAAATAAAAATTATTACCAAAATATTGCTGTATTAATTTGGTTACTCCCTCTCGTTTAGGTAAACTTAAGTCAGCACTAAAAGGAATCTCCTCATCATCATCATTATTTTCCGCCACAGGACGTCCACTGCGGAACATAGGCCTTCCTCAATGATTTCTACATACGCCCGGCTCGTAGCGGCCTTCATCCAGCACCTTCTTGGGGTCGTCGGTCCACCTTGTGGGTGGATGTCCCACGCTGCGTTTTCCGGTACGCGGCCTCCACTCCAGCTGCCCCATCGGCCGTCAGTTCTGCGTACTATGTGCCCTGCCAATTGCCACTTCAGCTTGCTAATCTGTTGGTGGACTTTAGTTCGTTTACGGATCTCCTCATTTCTGATGCGATCTTGTACAAAAGGACGTTCCATTTGTTAATTAAGTAGTTGTAAGTTTCCTCAGAGGTCTGCCCTGTGCTCTGTAGTGTAGGTAAAATTAAGATTTAGGTACTAAAATAAGCCTTTTTTTAGGCTACACATAATACTTGTTCCAGCCTCCCTATACAAAAAACAAACGTGACAGTCAGTTGTAACTCCGAAATCACTTCATATTTTTATAAGCAGTTTTCAGTTCAATGAATATTTATGAGCTGCATAAATTAGTTTCGGATTTCACAGATACATACCTACTCGTAACAGTAAATTTTGTGTCATAAAAGTAACAAAGAACAGATTCACGACCGCAGTTCCTTTGAAGCATTGTCGGGATAAGTATTTATTTTGGTAGCTTACATTCTGTGTTAAAATTTACTGAGGTAAGCCGGTGTAGGTTTGAAGTATTTTGATGATAAGTAAGTAGATTGTTTTAGAGAAATTTAAAAACTTTTAGTCGTAGGTAAAATGCTTGGAGTATAATAAGTATGTAACTACCTATTAGCTCGCTAGGTTGGTTCACCATGACAAACATCAAAAATCTATCGAACTCCATACCAAACACGCCGGTTATCGCTATAGATACGGTTAAAGTTAGGTGGTGCAACTCAGCCTTATTAGAGTAGGCGCACATCGTTGATTTTTCGTCGGCCGATAGTTTAGTCGGGCAGTTGATCAGTACGGGCATGTATGGGAGTGCGCACACTACGCCGATTCGATTTGGCCGATTCTTCATACAATTTTAAATCATGCACAACTATCGGACAACTAAAAATCAACGGTGTGCGCCTACTCTTAACGTAATATCGTTGAAAAAGAGGCTGAAAAATAACTGCTCGATACGACCAATAAAAATAAGTAAGCTTGACCTCCGGAGCTTTAGACTTTTAGCGAAGTTTCTGGGATCGATTCCAAGAAATTTAAATGGTAGAAAAATACACACAACATCAAATAAACCGCACCTTCCGCGACGCGAACTTTAAAGATTTTCTTCTGACACAATCATGGTACCCCCAAGTACCCCAACAATATTGGTGTTATTGAAAGCCCAATAAATATCCTTAAAGAAAAATACATTTTATTTCTAAATAAATGATTAACATCATAAATGTGACTTGAAAATAGACCTTACTTTGGGCTCACCTCTGGGATCAATTAGACCAATTTTTATGGTTATAAAACCAAATAAAGATCTCACGTGTCCTCTTTAACAAATGGATAGCGATTAATCCCAACTTAACAGTTTTATAGCCATAAAAAATGGCTATAGCGTAACTACCTATTTTTTGAAGAAGTGACTCTGGATCCTTGTAAAGATACATTTTTGGGGTAAAAACCTTTCCTTTAATGAAATGAAGTTTAGAACTAGGCTTTCAAATGGTACCAATGTTGGTGGGAAGTGGACGCATACGTTTGATAAGTGTTTGTCGCGGGAGGTGCGATTTATTTGATGCCGAGTGTAGTTGGTGAGTCTAAGTCGGTTATTATTTTAATTACACCTCCCGTGAATAATGACGTGTGCATCAAATCTGTTAGCTAATATTTGCCCTTTAATATGACGTCAGAAGTAGTTACCGACTAATCAGAGTTGATTGAGACAGTTGGTAACTCTTCTCCCCTACAGTCTTGAACTTTCATGGTCTTTTCAGGAGTTAAAAATGGGAATACAAAGGAAAGTAATTTTACTATTGACTTTGGTTATACAACTGTCAATACACTGCACTGCTGGTAAGATTTAAGATTTAGCATACTTGAAAACATAACATGAAAACCGAACTTTGAAAACCTTAATCCGGCAACCTAACTCGAAAGCAGAATTTCTCTAAAACGTAAACAACTCTGAAAATCGAGTTTCGAAAACCTGTCTTCGATAAGTTAACTTTTCGAAAAGCTAACTCCGTTAACCTAACTGGAAAACCGAACTCCGATAACCTAATTCGGGAACTTAACTCCGCTAACGTAACTTTTTGAAAACCTAACTCAGTAAACCTAGCTCAAAAACCTAATTCGATTAACCTAACTGGAAAACTCAACTTCGATAACCAATTCGGAAACTTAACTCCGCTAACTTGACTAAAAAACATAACTTGAAAACCTAATTCGAAAACATAATTCAAAAACCTTACTCGAAAACCTAACTTGAAAACCTAATTCGAAAACCTAACTTGAAAACCTATTTTGAAAACCTAACTCGAAAACCTAATTCGAAAACCTAACTTGAAAACCTAATTCGAAAACCTAACTTGAAAAACTAATTCGAAAACCTAACTTGAAAACCTAACTTCGATAACCTAATTCGAAAACCTAACTCCGAGATTAAGACTTTTCAAAAATCTACTTCGAAAATCTCTCTTTTTTAAAACCTACGAATAACCTTGATGACCTTTCTGCCTAAGTTAGGTATGAATAATAATAAGAATACTTAAATATGATGTTTGTAAGTATTTTGAGTTATAACAATAGACACATCATTCTCATGGGTGAAAAAATTAAATAATTATAATTTATATGACATTGACATTGTGTAACATTCAATTGAACCACGATTGAACAGTGTCCTCTGCCGACCGATCTTCAAAAGTGCACTGTAATGTACTGAATAAATTAAAAATTAAACGGGTTTAAACAAAAACCTACTCCTCACTACTAATATTATAAACGATAAATTAGGTAATCTGTCTATTTTACACTAATCTGCTGAACCGTTTTAGATGAAGTATCTATAGAGATAATTATTGTCACTTTTAAAAGATTGTGTTTTTAGACAAGCCATGCTGGAGCCAAATATTTGACCAGAACAAATCAACAGTGTGTTTATGTACGTCAGAATATTGTGATGAGTTGATCAGAGATGAACCATCGCTTGGAAACTACGTTGCGTACACTTCTTCCGAAGTAAGTAAAGTAAAATCAAAATATTAAAATCTAAAAATATTTATTCAATTTTGACCAGTATTTCGGGACTTAAGAAGTAACTAATAGTCAAGGTCAAGATGTAGGTAAATTAACTACATTAAAAATAATTAAACGTTATTTTTTAGGATGGCTTGCGGTTCCAGAAATCCACGAAATCTCTTCAAACGTTTAATTTTGATAGTCAAGGTAAGTTTTTCGTATCTCTTCTAACAAAAATACAAAAATTGCAAGCATAATATAACCATAAGTACTTGTTGCTTTATATGTAAGTACATATGGAGCACACTGTGTGCACAATTTTGTGACAGAAAAAAATCCACGCGGGCACGCGGGCCCGCCTTAGTATTAAATATTTTCCAGCCGCAACATGCACGCTCTCCAACTACTGCTACCCAGCTCTGTATTTGAACACCAGCCGCCTGTACCAGAAGGTAGAGGGCTTCGGAGGAGCAGTCACTGATGCCGCCGCCATCAACTGGCTTAGCTTGGAGAATGATACATTGAGGCAGCACCTTATTGAGTAAGTTTGTAAATTAAAATACAGAGGTTCTCATAGGGAACTGTGTCCATCCAGGGCTTGAGAGAGATGAGGGGGATGAAGGAAAAGCAGATACGGATACCTCCGCCATTAACTGAGGCAGCATCTTATTAAGATTAAGAAACCAAAATGTAGGGGTCTCGACCGGGAATTGATGAATTAATAAGCGAACAGTAGACTGTATTACAGGTTTATTGAGACTTCGTTAAACAGCAAGTTAAAATAAGCAAGGGGGCGCGCGCTGTTTCTCCGGTGGCGTAAGGTGAAGAACGTTACTATTTTGTATGGGCCATTGTGAAAATGGTGGTGTTTACTTACTTGATCTTCACTGGTTGGATTTTGACTGGCGGACAATCTGTAGCTGGCTACACAGGAGTTGCATCGGTGGGAACGAGAGGTAGGAAAAGAAAAAAAAACTTGTATAGTATTAAGTTGTACAGAAGACGCCCCATCTTTATGTTTATGAAAACTGACTTGGTGCTATCGGAACCGCCGTAGGCGTTTGTATTTGCAGTAAGTCCGTTACTTTATTATTTTTAAGATATTCTACGGGACGCCATTATGGTAGCTAAGGGTTACTTTGGGTATCCACCACTCAGAGAAAATCATCTTACCTAAGTATATCTTCTTTCAGCGCAATTAACATAATATTTTTTCCAGTGCGTACTTCAGCAGGCAAGGTCTGGAATACAACATGATACGAGTGCCAATTGGAGGATCGGACTTCTCAACGCATCCTTATGCTTACAATGAGTACCCAGAAGATGATGTGCAGCTCTCAAATTATACTTTGGCTCCAGAAGATTACGAATATAAGGTAATTTCTTTGTAAGAAGGACTTTTTACTGGAATTTGGTCATAAAATATGTCTCGCTCTAGTTTTCTAGTCTCTCCCAGACAACTAGAGCGAGACATATTTTATGCTTCCCAGCGAGAAGATTGCCTGAATTGTGCTATTTTAATTTTGAATTTCTTTAATATTCCTTTTTTGTGGTGTGCAATAAAGGGTACCTTAACTATCTAATAGAGAGTGAATAGGCACTTACAGGACAGATATGTACCATCCTAGACTGCATCTCACTTAAAACCAGGTACGATTACGATCAAATACTTACCAATTTCTTTTGAATCGTAAACTTGAATCTATGCTTGTGCATGACTCTTTTTGATGTGTTCTTTCATAAAAATAATCTCATCTCCACTAATAATAATAATATTCTTCCCAGCTGCCAATGATCAAAGCAGCAATGGAAGCTGCACCAGGCTGCGTGCACGTGGTGGCCTCTCCCTGGTCTCCTCCCGCCTGGATGAAGACCAACAACAACATTACAGGCATCAGTCGCCTCAAAAAGGAGTACTATCAAACCTACGCTGACTACTATTTGAAGTAAGTAAGGTAGCAGGAAGACGCTAGACCAGCGTTTCCCAAACTTATTTAGTCTACTGCCTACTTTGAGAATAAATTATTTTTTAGCGCCCCCCATTTTTGTAGTCAAGGGTCGAGCTCAGTCGGTGTCTAAGAGTCCTCCTAGTAGATGACGCCTCCCAAACCTCTACACAACGTCCCGATTTTTTTTTCTGGGTCTCTTACCGCCCCCCTTTAAGCCTGCAGCGCCCACAAGGGGGCGTTATTGCCCACTTTGGGAAAGACTGCGCTAGACGCAGGCCGCTACCAACCGGGCAGCATGGAAAGCATTGGGGGATGCCTATGTTCAGCAGTGGACATCCTGTGGCTGAGATGATGATGATGATGAAGAGAAGCTTAAACAAATCGCCCCAATCAGCAGTGGAGCTGTGCAATGTAAGGAGCCTCCGACATTGGCTCACTCATGCCCGTTTTCACTATCAATCCCAAATTTTTGTGACCCCGATAGTAACATATAGCAGGAATTTTGTTTTCATAGGGGTCACTTAAAAATTAAGGATTGATGGTAAAAAGTAAAACCCCTTTCAAAAGATTGGAATCTTTAGGGTGGGATACTTATGCCCCTTTTTACCATCAATCAGTAATTCTTAAATGACCCCTTAGAAATCAAAATTCCTGGTATGTGTTACCATAGGGTCACTGGGGGGATGCAGTAGGCCTTCCTGTAGAGCGGGAAGAGACCTTTGCTTGGGCCGCCCTCCCCGTTAGTAGCGATAAAAGCCGTGAAACGAATTACTTCACCACGATGACAAACCGAAGGTCGACACGACCAGAAGATAGGGGTCACTTAAAAAATAGGGATTGATGATGAAAACGGCCATTAGACCCACCCTTAGTATTGGCACTTGTTTGCACTAATACCATGTTGATCTTAATTCAAAATTCAAAATATTTATTGCTTCATCATCATCATCATCATCAACAGCCCTTTACAGTCCACTGCTGACCTATGAGCCTCCTCCACTATAGTGGAGGGTTTTGCCATAATCCCCATACTTGGCAGGCGGGTTGGAGAGCGCTGCTTCCCGTTCTCTGTCCGATGTGTAGTCCCTAGGTCGCCTCTTATGACACCTACGGAAAGAGTAGGGTGTAGTAGGTGACAAATGTATTCTACTCTGCCGTCACCACACGGCACGGCATTTATTGCTTACTAAGTGACAATTTGTAAAGGTGTAAAGTACATAATATACAGGAGCTTAAAGACTAATTCAACAATTTGATGGTCTTCCATTGAAGGTTCCTTCAGCTGTACGCCAAAGAAGGTGTCCAGGTGTGGGCCGTCACCACAACCAATGAGCCCACGAATGCGGTCCTTAGCGACACGCCGTTCAATACCCTAGGCTGGACTGTGGTAGACCAGGTGGGTGTAATTATGCATGGACCTTATAGAATAATAAAAAACTTTATCAACACAGTAATAACACTTACAATATAGTCCGGTCACCTAGCACGTAGAATTTCGTCCAATGACCCCAAGCTACCCATCCTAATCACTCGCGCGGAGTCGCGCGTAATTATATTTCTGTCGCGCTCGCACACTCACTGCTGCCGCCAGTCGCACAGTCGCGACAGCAATATAATTACGCGCGAGCGATAAGGATAGGTAGCTTGGGTTCATTGGACGAAATTCTACGTGCTCGGTGACCAGACTTTAGTAGGTAACAGGACAAAAACAATGGTTATCGAAACATGCTCGAAATGGCATGTCAAGAAAGAAGCTGGTCTTCCTTAAACGCCATGTTTTTCCATGGCATTGTGTAGCCTTTCGAGGTGACTGACATAATTTTTTTTATTAATTTAGTAAAAGCTCTTATTACCATGCCGTTAGGTTTACTTATTGCCACTTTACTAAATGTGCAATACCTAACTCAAGTATATTTTAATAATTATTGTCATTGCGCAATTAACTATCAATTGTTTTTCTCGAAATGTATTTTTGGTTAAACAAACTTTGTTAATTAAAATAAGATAAGGAGCGTTAGGTATTTTAAAAAGTTATTTTTGTATTCACAAGTTAGTCATTATTTACTATGGACTTATTTTTCCTGGAAAGTTTTTTGAAAGTTTAAGGCTGAGTTGCACCACCTTACTTTGACCGTAACTATAATGATAACCGGTGCTTTTTGTATGGTTTTATGGCTGGGTTGCACCATCTTACTTTAAAACTTTTTGGAGGAATTTTAAAGTAAGATGGTGCAACCCAGCCTATTGTGTTCTAATTTAAGAAATGGTAGGTTTCCGATTCAAATCAAATCAAATCAAATCAAATCATTTATTTCGCTTGAAAGTGGTACATGTAAGTGATGGTAAAGTAGATTAGAGTAGTATCACACATTTCACCAGAGTATGGCATGCAAAAATATAAAATTTAAACAATGTCATTTTAAGTAATCATGTCAAAAATAGAGTTATTAACATCAAATAGAACACAAATATTAGATATGAATAAAGTCACCGAGTATGTAGTCAAAAATTAGAATATAAATATCAAGGTTACAACAACTTCCCTGATTTAAAATAATTAAAATATTCGTCCATTGAGTAAAAACGTGATGTATGTTTATACCTTATCAGCATCGAGTCTTTTTCCGACAGATGACGTGTAGTTGTACATTATGTATTCTGTGGTTGTACCTCAATAATTAGGCTGGGTTGCACCATCTTACTTTAACTTTGACAAACGTCAAAAATCTGTCAAATTCCATACAAAAAGCACCGGTTATTGTCATTGTTACGGTTAAAATAAGGTGGTGCAAATCAGCCTTAAATAATTATTATTATCAAGACCTGCTTAGGAATTTGTTATCTTCATACAATGAGTTTTCTACAATTTTCAGGCTGACTGGATAGCGAATAACCTAGGGCCGACTCTGCGAAAGTCGCAGTTCAACACAACCCTGATCCTGGCAGTGGACGACAACCGCGACAAGATTGTTGATTACTTTAATATCGTAAGAAACTCATTCTTGATTTTTTATTATAAACTAGCGGCCGCCCGCGACTTCGTACGCGTGGATCCCGTTTTACCCCCTTCATCTATCTTACGCGGCTTAGATTTTTTCATACAAATGTTTTATTTATTTATTTATTTATTTATAGGTACAGTTACAGTACATAGAATACTACTTATTTGGAAAAAAATACAGCTACAAATCACTTACAAATCTATGGACCAATTACAACTGCACACAACTATGCCTAATAACTTAAGTGCTTAGTTAAAACAACAAAAACTAATGTTAGCTACAACAACAACTAATCCAACAATCTAATCAGCATTTCTTAATTTATTTTTAAAAACCCGTTTTTATCTCCCGTTCCCGTGGGAAAGCTTTAAGTTTGCATGCCAAATTTCAAGCGTCTAACTTAAGCGGTTTAGATTTTTCATACAAAAGGATTTTCCAGCTAATTCCCGTTCCAGTGGGAATTCCTAAGTATACTATAACCAGCCCAGGAGTATGAAGAATAATTGTACCAAGTTTCGTTAAAATCCGTCGAGTAGTTTTTGTTTCTATAAGGAACATACAGACAGACAGACAAAAATTTTACTGATTGCATTTTTGGCATCAGTATCGATCACTAATCACCCTCTGATAGTTATTTTGAAAATATATTTCATGTACAGAATTGACCTCTCTACAGATTTATTATAGGTTAGATAACCCCATTGGGAGAAAACATGAAAAGATGGCCCTGTCAAAAACCATTGCTTGGAATCACGCCAGGATAATCCTACTAATGTTATAAATACGAAAGTTTGGATGTTTGTTACAGTTACTCTTTCACGCAAAAACTACTGAACGGATTTTGATGAAACTTTGCAGTATTATTGTTTATAACCCAGATTAACTAAAGGCTATAATTTATGACGATCTGTGTCAAACTAAATTTCACGCGGGTGAAGCCGCGGGAAAAAGCTAGTTTCATATAAATTAAAATTATATCGCAGTCCAAAAATGTAGCAAGCTTAGCCAGAGAAAATAGGTTCTCAAATAGAATCTTGGATAATGTAGGTAAGTGTTCGACGATCAACGTCCTCAAAAAAGAAAAATGGTTGGTACTTAGCTGGGCGAATAAAGCGGGAGATACTTCGTTCGTTCGTTCGTTCGTTTCAGCTGAAAGACGTCCACTGCTGGACAAAGGCCTCCCCCAAGGATTTCCACAAAGACCGGTCCTGCGCCGCTCGCATCCAGTTGATACAATGATGATTCAGCCGTTACTCTAATGGTTTAGTTGGACCTTTCAGTAATGCCTGCTGCTGCTACTGCTTACCGTATGCTCATAAACAATATTTTACATTGCAGTTGGCCTACACAAACCCACTAACTCTGCAGTACATCGACGGGGTTGCCGTCCACTTCTATTACAACAAGTTGGTCCCCCCAGAGATGCTCACGTTCCCTTTAAAGAACCACCCAGACATTTTCGTCATTTCCACCGAGGCTTGTGCGGGTAAGTAAATAATCCTACTAAAGCCCGGTCTGTGAGCACGTAGAATTTTGTCCAATGACCCCAAGCTACCCATCCTTATCGCTCGCGCGTAATTATACCCATCCTTATCGCTCGCGCGTAATTATACCCATCCTTATCGCTCGCGCGTGGGTGTGCGAGTATATACCTACTATTTGTCAGGCAAAATATAAGTAAAATCATTGCTTTGTATGAAGTTTGGATTCTTTGGATTGATTGGTAAATAATGATCGCAATACTACTCCTCATCGCCATCGCGGCATCGCTCGGCCCGTGCGTCGCTAGTTTTGTGCCCGCACCTAAGACAGGTAGTGAAGGAGAGATTATGTTTGCCGTGACAGATTATGTTAATATCACATGTCACGGCCTTGGGAAACGGCTTAGTTATGGGCTATGTCTGTAATACACGGAACACACAGAAAATAATAACAGACAATAGTATAGGTACATACACTTAGAAATAACTCTACACCTGTTTCTTACAGGATTTTTACCAAATGAATACCCTAAAGTCGACTTGGGTTCTTGGTCCAATGCTCAGCTGTACATCCGGGATATCATAGAGGTAATATCTATCTATCTATAATCTATCTATATAAATAAAAATGAATTGATGTTCATTAGTCTGATTAAAACTCGAGAACGGCTGGGCCGATTGAGCTGATTTTGGTGTAAAAATGTTTGTCGTAGTGCAGGGTAGGTCTAAACGGTGAGCAAATAAGGAAAGATTTGCTTATTTATTGCCTTTAAGGCGGAACAGAGTTCGCCGGGTCAGCTAGTTGTTATCTATCTATCTATATAAATAAAAATGAATTGATGATCGTTAGTCTGATTAAAACTCGAGAACGGCTGGGCCGATTGAGCTGATTTTGGTGTAAAAATGTTTGTCGTAGTCCAGCGTAGGTCTAAACGGTGAGCAAATAAGGAAAGATTTGCTTATTTATTGCCTTTAAGGCGGAACAGAGTTCGCCGGGTCAGCTAGTTGTTAATAAATTAATAAATTATCTATTTAAATAAAAAACTTTTATTCTTACTGCTTTAGAACTCCTTTGTTTTATTAACTAACTTTTGGAAAATAGTTTTAAGTAAAAATTCGGAATGGTCCTACATACTAAATTCTTTTTACTAAGCTGGTCACCTAAAAACACCTACTTCAAGTCACCACACAAAAGATACTAGTAAATATAACTGAAGAAATGTTCAGCCTTCATTTTCTCCTCTTACTCCTTCATAATCGACTAAATAAGTTGTTGATAAGCGACCGCAAATATCTTCACACATAGACTTTCAATAGAAATCATTGGGGGAGGCCTATGTTCAGCAGTGGACGTCCTATGAAATGACGATGATGATGACATAGACTTTTAAAACCTTTCACAGGATTTAAACTACAACGTCACTGGCTGGATAGACTGGAACCTCTGCCTGGACCAGCAAGGAGGTCCGAACTGGGCCAACAACTTCGTGGATTCTCCCATCATCATCGCCGACGATAAGCAACAGTTCTTTAAGCAGCCGATGTACTACGCTCTTGCGCATTTCTCGAAATTCATACCAAGAGGTTCTAGAAGGATCCATGTACAGAGCTTGTGCAAGAAGAATATTGAGAACGTATCTTTTTTGACACCGTTCAACACAATTGTAACTGTTCTTCATAATAGGTGAGTAATCTATAATCCAGGCGTTTTCAAGGCGAGAGTGAATAGGCACTTACAGGGCAGATATGTACCATCCTAGACTGCATCTCACTTAACACCAGGTGCGATTGCGGTCAAATATCTGCCTTTTATGCTAGCATAAAAAACGTTTGACAGACGGCAGACATTAATCTGCTTGGTTGAGCACTCATCAAGGAACGCAGCAGTTCTGCTGCAGCACTACTGACCCCATTTCTGCTATAACTGTTTAAGCTTCAACCACACCAACGCGTGCAGATCGCCATCGCCGGCGCAATCAAAGGCCAATGACAGGTCGCGCGATAGGGTTGCCAGGTCCAAAATCACAAAAGCCGGACTTTGTGCTTCATTTGGCCGGACATTTTACCCTAAAAGCCGGACATGTGACGGGGGGGGGGGGGGGTAATTAGTTGTCAGTTCACGAGTGAGTACTATCATCATCGGTTACTATCCAACATCCTGATGCGTGCGCTTCATATTATTCTGTGGCTCGACTTTCGCCTGGCGCGGCAACCAAATAAAAAGCCTAATAAAAGCCGGACAGGCCGGACAAGGCAATATTTGGCCGGACAAGTCCCTAAAAAGCCAAACATGTCCGGCTAAAGCCGGACGCCTGGCAACCCTACGCGCGACCCATGACAGTTCACGCGACCTGTCATTGGCCTTGGCGATCTACACACGTTGGTGTGGTTGAAGCATTGGTACATGAGATGACATTCCCACCCTCGCAGCAATGAAGTGGTAGCACTGTTGTATGTAGCGGAGCTCGGATCATACAATAAAGCTGGACAAATAAAAAAAAATGTGATTGAGATTGTAGCGCCGAAAGACTGGCGCTCCTTATTATTATTTTCAGCACTTCTTTTACTAATTATACTTTTTATTTTAAAAGCTCTGGTAGAGCAAATCTAAGATTATTGTTTACGGATCATTCCGTCAATTAAATATGGACCGATTTTAAGAAATCTTATGTTGTTCGATATGTACACTTCTGTACCTCTAGTAGGAAAAACTTTCGAGTTCGTTTCGTTGCGTATTCAAAGTGTCATCGAAAAATTTTGTATGAAAAATTAAACAGCGCCCCCTAGGGCGGCTATAATATAGGGGGCGCTGTTTAATTTTTCATACAAAATTTTTCGATGACACTTTGAATAAGTACGCAACGAAACGAACTCGAAAGTTTTTCCTACTAGAGGTACTGAAGTGGTCCCATTGCCAAGTCAGGATCTGATGATGGAAAATAGACGGCAATTCTCATTCTTCAAAAAAAAATACGATTTGTGTTTACTACTAAACTTTCTTTCTTTCTAAACATACAAGTACCTACTTGTAATTTTTTTTTTACTTGAAGTTCATGGTTTTTTTCCAGCGGTGAAGCGACAATGGTTGACCTGGTGACGTGTCACCGCCTAGCCTCCGTGGAGGTTAGGAGGAACTCCATAACCACTGTGGAGTTTGTGAACGAGCCCTGCTAATACAAAATGTTTTATGGAAGTGTAAATAACGTGGAATTTACTTTCATATTTGTGTTGGTTTTAATTTGTGTGATCTTTTCCTGATGATGAAACCCTATAATGCTTTGCCAGACTGCCAGAGTGGCTGGCTAGCTTTGTGAATTTTAGAAAATAGTACCTAACCTACTTACACACTTTGAAAATAATATTCAGATGGTATTTCATCCTACTATCCTATCCTACTAATAATAAATGCAAAAGTTTGTAGGGAACCTACATTATTATTACACTTATTACTATTTATTACACAAAGCTCACACAAAAAAATATTTCTACATCTTATAATTATATTATTAACACATTAAAATCATACACATTACATTCATACATCACGCTAACATACATACATTACGCAAATACAAAATATTTATCCGCACAAGCAAACCCGATAGTAATTCATACCTACCTACCTAATTTCATACTTTTAAATATTCTAGTACCTGACCGACCTAGATTCATAAAATAAAGACTAACTCAAGCTTTTTATTTTTAATAAATGTAAAAATGCGTAGTTTTGCCAATACGTTTTCTTTCATAAAGCTAAGTCAGGTACCTAGTTTTGAAGATATTTCTAAACGACAAAATCCAGTGCCGTCGTATACATAGACGTATACTGCGATCACTGACCTAACTTCTTGATTTATTTGTTACTTGTTCTGTTAATTACAATTCTCAATCAGTAAATAATTTCTTCTTTCTACCGTGTTCGTCGTACTATTGTCCTCGTAAAATCATCGTAACCGATTGTTGTAATCGGATTACATGAACATCACTCGACCATATATGTCCATTTGGACATATCGGAATGGCACGCTTTGACGAGCAACTTGCTGTATCTACTCTAATCCATATCTGTGTGCGTCTCGGTACGTCTCACTTGCCGGCTCTATAAAATTTTGTTGTGTAGATGATGATGGCAAATCAAGCTAACCATTTTACAATAAATGCATTGTTGGTCGTGCTACCTAGCAGATTACCTGTCGAACTGATAAACTGATTTATTAATTTATTGTACTCCATAACTCCGTAAACGAACCAAAGTCGCTGACATAGCCCGACGGATTAGCAAGCTGAAGTGGCAATGATCAGGGCACATAGTACGTAGAACTGACGGCCGATGAGGGCAGAAAGGTTCTGGAATGGAGGCTGCGTACCGGGAAACGCAGCGTGAGACGTCCACCTACAAGGTGGACCGACGACATCGTAAAGGTAGCAGGGAAGCGCTGGACGCAGGCCGCTACCAATCGATCAACATGGAAAGCATTGGGGGAGGCCTATGTTCAGCAGTGGACGTCATATGGCTGAAATGATGATGATGATGACTCCATAAATTATTCAAGTTCCTGTGAATATTACTCGTTCTCCTTTGTGTAAAGGGACGTATGCATTGGGTACCCTGTCAAAAAGTTGTAAAGCTATCGCATCTTATCTATTTGTGAGTTATCAACAATGTAAGTATTAACTAATATCAGTTTTATTAAACGAATGATTGTTTGTTTGTCGACTACAACTTTTCCAGAACTTGCTACCGAAGAACCATCAGTAGGTATACTATCTTACAGAAAAATGACTCACCAATTCACCATATAAGATTTTAACTAAAGTACACGGTGTACACAGGATGATAAACATATTGATTAGCTTTATTTACGCCACTAGAGCAAAAATATTAATAGCTTTGGTTAAATTTGGAGATTTTTAAGTATTATCCGGAAGGCAAACCTTCATTTATTTTATTTCTAAGAAATGTATACTTCGCGCCAACAGAAACTAACTACTTTGCAAATAAAGTTTGATAATTTAAAAATTACCTCAATGTAATTTAAATTATTGTAACTAATATCCTGAACATTTTAACTAATTAGCAATTAAAAGTAAGTGTGCAAATTATTTGATAGCCGAGTAATTGTTATCTTTTTCGCACAACGTGTCATGGGAGCCATAAGTCAACTGAGGTCAATTTTACGACCGACTGTACATCAAGTAAACACAATACAAATATCAACGGGCAATTTATTGTGAGCTGAGTCTGTTCACACGACACAACCCGGTCGACCGGTATAGTGACTTGACGTCAGATTATCATAAGAAATCGTTTTATTAAACACGAATGTAACAACGATGTTACATAAAGTGTTGTGTGTTGTAGTGTTACTTGTGTCACAAGGGTTTACCGGTATGTTATTTTGAATTTTGTTCGTTGTTTTTGCAATATTATACCGGTCACTGCTTTTGTCATCTAAAAATAGCGCGATTCACAATAACAAACGAAAAATATTTGATAACACGGTTGCTGTGGTTTATAAAGTTTCACATGGCCGTTAGAGTTTTAACTGTATACTTAGGCTGGGTTGCACCATCTTAATTTAACTTTGAGAAACGTCAAAAATCTGTTAAACATATCGTCATAGTTACCGTTAAACTTAAGTGGTGCAACTCAGCCTTATAGTTCAAAAGTTTCATAACACACTGATTTAGGTATTTAAGTTTTCAGTTAATTTAACTGTTTCCGTAAATACCTGAGTTGGTTATAACGATTTTTTTGACTCGACTAAAAATGTTCACACAATTTTAACAGTCAAGATCGCTCCGTTTCTTCTTGCCATGCCTTTCATGATTTAGAACAGTAAAACAGTTTCATTTTACTTTTGACCATAACTCCATACTCGGTATTTTAATGTCTCTTTGTTGATGCCAAAGAATGGGCAATAATGCCGTTTCAATAAGTACATACTACAATAATGTAAGTGCGGACCTCTAGACCCCAGGTGGTTATCCCCACCTCTTGTTCCCACTACTGCAACTCTTTTATAGCCAAGATCTACAGTTTAGTCTCCAATAACATTCAACCAGTAAGTAAAGATTGAGGAGTTCCAGAGATAAATTTACTCATGAATCATCTTAGAACATCCTTTCTCAAGAGTATAATTTTATCGAAACAGTTAACAAACAAAGATTATTATGGCTGTTTTTGTCTGATAAGCTATTAAAAATGCTGGCATCTGCTTAGTTTTTGTGTCTTAAGATATGTCGAGACAAATCTAAAGACTTAAGTAGTTATTTCAGATAAACCATGTTCAGAGCGACAAATCAGTGGCCAGTCGGTGGTGTGCGTGTGCAATGCCACCTACTGCGACGAGCTCACGAGGAAAACTCCTGGGGAAGGCACCTTCGTCAGCTATACATCCTCTGAGGTGACTTTTGAGCAGTTTTTTGAGTCTCGGCACACATTAAATAATAGTATCTAAACTTGAAGAGGTGAAAGAGCCACAAAAATTCGTTAGTTTGTTTGTTTCAGCCTAATGATGTCCACAGCTGGACAAAGGCCTCCCCCAAGGATTTCCACAAGACCGGTCTTGCGCCGCACTCATCCAGACACCTCCCGCGACCTTCACCTGATCGTCGGTCCACCTTGTGGGAGGCCTGCCCACGCTACGTCTTCCGGCTCATGGCCACAAAAATTTAAGTTGTAATATTTAACGACCACTGTGGTCGAGTGGCGCACAGCCACAGTTCCAGCTACCCATTTCTGATCCTGTGGTCTCGTTCTATCAACGAATGACCAAAACAGAAATCGGTAGCTGGAACAGTGGGAGTTTGATTTTGTAAGACCCGAAATTTATTTTTAAGTTTTGGTGATAGTAGATATAGTTAATTTTAAGGATTCGCTAAAAGGAAAAAAGCAAAATAATTAAATTATGTAATTGTTATTTTCAGTCTGGCCTCAGATTTCAAAAGGGGATCGGAAGTCTGTCTGAATCTAACGAAACTGGTAATAACACAGGTAAGTAAATAGGCAAATTAAAAAGGTTTACCTACCTTTTTAATTTGCCTTAACTTAACTTGCTCAAAAACAACATTCAGATATTTATAGTCGACTTTCACATACCCTGCAAAGCAGGTAAATAATGAACACAGACGTCACAAGCACAAGTTGCATCAAGTAAATAAACATTGAGGACATAATTATGGCGCATTGAAATGATAATTAATATTCAGCTCATCATCTCGCTCTAAAATATACATCTCATTTAATACAGTATAGATCTATAAACTAACTAAAGTCGCTGATATAGCAACGACGAATTAGCAAGCTATACAAGCATAATGGCAACAGACAGGGACAGTTCTGGGAACTGACGACCGATGGAAAAGCAAGCTACTGCAATGGAGGTCGCAGGAAGCCGCTGGATTCTGGCTGTTTTAAACAGCCTAATACGGTAATCACTAAGGTATTGTGGCTGAAATGAGAATGACGATCTGTCTATGAAACTTAGCAGCTTGTTTTTTGTCTTGTGTAGTTTGCCCTGATGGCTCTTTTGAGATGGCGGGAGATCGTGCGGGGAGTTGTATCCGCCTCTACAACCGATGAGTACAACGCCTCAACGTGACCATGACCACTCTGCCAAGAGTGAAACGGTTAAGAAGAGTCTGCCCTGCGACTTCTACATCTAAACTTCTTCCATTCCAGGAAGCTGCGGGTACTCGTTGACCCTGGACCCCTCGACGGTGTTTCAGACCATAGAAGGGTTCGGTGGAGCCACCACGGACGCAGCTGGAATGAACTGGAAGAACCTGACCGATGCCACTTTGCAGCAAATACTTATTGAGTAAGTACCTATGTCTTAAAGATACCGTACCTACTTATGTAGGTGGAAAAGAAGCATCTCCTCTAAAAGCGACTAAAAGACAATATGCGAACATCAGGTCTCCCAAACCCGTCTGGTCAGCATGGGGACCAGACGGACCTTTGTTTGTCACCGCTTTGCAATGGAGGGTAGTCGAACCTTAACTTCAAACTCCTCCTTGTTCTTCTGATTAATTTCGTTGCGGGCCCAATGACAGTTTAACTTTCCCCCGGGACAAACTTGACCTTCACTGGTTGGGTTTTTATTGGCGGTCAAGCTGTAGATCAGCGGTTCTCAAACTTATTTTATACACTTTGAGAATAAATTCTTTTTAGCGCCCCCATTTGTAGTCGAGAGTCGAGTGCTCAGTCGGTGTCTAAGAGGCCTCCTAGTAAATGACGCCTCCCAAGCCTCTACACAACGCCCCGATTTTTTTTCTGGGTCTCTTACCGCCCCCCTTTAAGCCTGCAGCGCCCACAAGGGGGCGTTATCGCCCACTTTGGGAAAGACTGCTGTAGATCCTGGCTACACAGTAGTCGCAGCGGTGGAAACGAGTCCCGTGGTCAGCATGAGGAGACTAGCTCAAATCTTCCATTTGCCTCAAAAAATTAGACGAGGTGCTCTACCTGCAGTGGGAACTAAATGACCATAATGATGATGATGACTATGTCCATTTAGGAAAAAATATGCTTGTCCCAAATCTTCTGGTACTGGTCACGCATTTGTGATTAAAATTCAAGATTTAATATGAGTATTGTCTATTTCAGTTCTTACTACAGCAAGTCTGGGCTCGAATACAGCATGGCAAGAGTGCCTATTGGAGGGACAGACTTCTCCACGCATCCCTACGCGTACAATGAGCTCCCGAAGGATGATGTAAAGCTAGCAAACTTCTCATTGGCTTACGAAGATTTTGAGTATAAGGTATTACCATAGTATTACGGACTCTAGTCGTTAAGTTTGAGGCTGAGTTGCACCTTCTGGCTTTAACTTTGACAAACGTCAAAAATCTGTCGAACTCCATATAAAAAGCACCGGCTATTGTTATTGTTACGTTTAAAATAAGGTGGTGCATCTCAGCCTAAATGTTTAAATGTTGATTGAGGAAAATCTATACTGATTTGAGATCCATGGCGAAAATTCTGTTAAAAATCATTGAAATTATTAGTAGATATTGGTCTGAGTCGTGGTCGTGGATTTCAATCTGTCTTAAAAGATAACTTTCACATTGTTATTGTCTATTATTTGTGCAGGTGCTAATTTTACAGGTGCCTAACAGACTAATTCAGGCTTAGTCACTACCCAAAAAATTATATCTCTACATTTTAATTTTTTACTATTTGTACATGCAAATTCAGGCTTTGTCCCTACCCGAAAAATAATATCTTTACTACATTTTCATTTTCTACTATTTGTTCAAATACTATTGGTACAGGTGCCTAACAGGCCAATTCAGGCTTTGTCAATACCCGAAAAATAATATCTTTTACATTTTAATTTTTTACTATTTGTACAGGTGCCTAACAGGCAAATAATTTAGGCTTTGTCCCTATCCGAAAAATAATATCTCTACATTTTAATTTTCTACTATTAGTACAGGTGCCTAACAGGCAAATTTAGGCTTTGTCCCTATGCGAAAAATAATATTTTTACTACATTTTCATTTTCTGCTATTTGTGCAGGTGTTATTTGTACAGGTGCCTAACAGGCCAATTTGGGATTAGTCACTACCCGAAAAATAATGATTATTTTGCAATAATTTTGAGTTACCTGTTTTTAGACACGAGGTTAAGGTTACTTGCTAGCAGTTCTATGTTATTGATTGACAAGTTAAGGTAATATACAACAAAAATAAAATAAAGATGCAAGTTTTTAGTGTGTGACGTGAAAGCAATACTATTCCAATGTCAGTCAAACAAATGTATGATGGCTTATTTTGAAAAGAAGAAAATTAATAGGTATCGCGCAGTTTCCAACATTTGAAATGTTTTCTGACTAAATTAATAATATTATTATCACAATTACTACCCTAAGTGGCAACAATATTCAATATGACTGTTTAAGTAAGTACTACCTATGTACTTAGAGAGTCGACTATTTACTTTACACGAATTAATGGGCTTATAACAAAAAGTTCAACGACCGCTCTGAACACATGTTTAAATTGTCATTTAGTATGTAAATTACATTTTAATTAATAATTATATTGTACCTTTTCAGATCCCCATGCTCAAAGCAATCCTGGCGGCCGCTACCAAGCCAGTGCACCTGGTGGCTACGACCTGGTCTCCTCCGGCCTGGATGAAGACCAACGACCAGTATACAGGCTTCAGCCGGTTGAAGCCAGAGTATTATCAGACTTATGCTGATTACCATGTAAAGTAAGTTTCCTGTGAGGTTTTGAATTGTGAAGGTATTTAATAAAGTATTTCAGACCATGGAAACACCGGCTTCAAAACTGGGAAATGTAACAGAATTTGAAATGTGTCTGTGATGGTGATGTTTTCAAGGATTTGAGGTGCAAATGCTTTTGATGTATGATATTAGAATCCAGTAAGGTATTGAACTCAAACATTGAAAATGACTCGAAAACTGTCAAAAATTGTTGAAGTGGTCTCTATCATTAATGGTCCATCATATTGGATAGCAGATAGCAGCTATATTATGTTACGACGAGTCCTTTGAAATCTCTCCGAATACGCACTGCGTTACAAGATAGGTGTAATAATAAGTCGTATTTTTCTGTCGTAGGTTTCTAGAAAAGTATACTGCTGAAGGGATACCTATCTGGGGCATTACGACTACAAACGAGCCGATAAACGGGGTGTTCAACTTGGCCTCCTTCAACTCTCTTGGCTGGTCACCGAGTGATATGGTTTGTACCATCCCAACTATTAATATTATAAATGCGAAAGTAACTCTGTCTGTCTGTCTGTCTGTCTGTCTGTCTGTTACGTTTTCCCGCTTAAACCTCGCAACCGATTTTGATGAAATTTGGCATAGAGATAGTTTGAGTCCCGGGAAAGAACATAGGATAGTTTTTATCCCGGTTTTTGAAACAGGGACGCGCGTGATAAAGTTTTTCTGTGACAGACAAAATTCCACGCGGGCGAAGCCGCGGGCGGAAAGCTAGTACATTTAATATTCCTTAGTTGTTCCTTTTCACACAAACTTAAACAGTTGACTATTAAAGTTTGATGGAGAGGCAAGTTAAATTTTGCGAGTTTACCCTTGTTTTTAGTACGTTAATGTATTGTATACTTAAAGTTTCTATTGTTTCTCTTTCCAGGGAAGTTGGATAGTGAATAACTTGGGACCAACGATACGGAATTCCACCTTCAAGGACCTGAAGATTATCACACTGGACGACCAGCGAGTCACCATACCTGTTTGGTTTAATTTGGTAGGATTTATTATTTACCTATTTTAAATTTTAGCGACAATAGTCCGGTGTCGGTGTCGGTACGGCTATCATGAAAAACTTTTGAGCTCGAATCGCCACCAAAAGATTTAGTACGAAAACTACAACAGCGCCCTTGTGAACGTGTCGTAAAGTGTAATATGAGAAATGGTTGCATGAAACTTATTTTGAGAATCAAAATTGTCACGTTATCGTTTATTCGAAGGTTGAGTATTGAATTTTGTCGAATACGCAAACGATTCCAAGACGAAAGTTGTTCATGCTAGAGGTACAGGTCGGATCGGAAGAACGCGGGTTCGATCCCCGCTGCGTCGCTAGGTACCTATCACCAACCACTCATAACACAAGCATAATAAGCTTATAACGAGAGGTTTGCGGGACTTTATTTTTAAAAAATGGAAAAAAAATATCAATCTATATTATTGTGTTAAGTGCTAAGAAAACCTGAGAAAAATGTTAATCTTTTTTTTTCCAGAAATCTCAATCTTATATTTATTTATATTTTCACAGATGATAAAGAAGTATCCAGAAGCTCTCCAATACATAGACGGAGTAGGAGTCCACTACTACACAGACAAATTCGTCCCCGCATCGGTTTTGTCCCTGATTTCCAATTCACACCCGGACAAGTTCATACTGGCCACTGAAGCTTGTGAAGGTAAGCAAAAGTATTCATCATCATCATCATCATCACTTCAGCCATAGGACGTCCACTGCTGAACATAGGCCTCCCCCAATGCTTTCCATGTTGATCGAAAGTATTCGCCCGCGTTAAAATCTGAAGCTGGTTCAAAACCGGAATATTCGGGGCTAACGGGACTATTAGTAATTTGTGAAATATCAAATTATGTACTAATAATCTTTTTTTATTATTTATTTATTTATAAGGCATACTGACAACATATAGGTATAAGTATTATACTCTTATGACTAAAATTTATGAAGATAACATTTCTGATAAGATTAAAAAAAACCGTACCTCTATTGTTCCAAAACCTAACTTGGTCGAAAACCTGTTCGAAAACCTATCTTTTCGCAAACCTACCGTCTTGTTTGAAAACCTAACTTAACGAAAACCTAATTTCGTTAAAAACTTAACTACTCGAAAACATAAGTTGTTCGAAAACCTAACTTTTAGAAAACCTAATTTTCGAAAACCTTAACAGTGCCAAAACCTAGCTTTTCAAAGACCTAGATAGATGTTCGAAAAACTATTATTCGAAATCCTAACTTTTCAAAACTCTTATATTTTTCGGCTTTTACAGGTTCAGCGCCATGGCAAACCGAGAAAGTGATCTTGGGCTCCTGGACCAGAGCAAAAAGCTATATCGTTGACATCATTGCGGTGAGTGTTCATTTGATTTATTAATGCACCTGTCCTAACAAATCTTCGTTCGTGTCCAAATGATGTCCACTGCTGGACAAAGGCCTCCCCCAAGGCTTTCTATAACGACCGTATAGTGTATAGTGGATGAGGATCATAGTCCAACAGTGGACTGTAAAGGGCTGTTGATGATGATGATGATGAGTAGCTAAAAATCGATGGGCAGTTATCTGACATGGACACTTCGGGACCTCATATTACAAGTTAAGGAACCATGTTTTACGAAATAGGCGATATAGCCTTAAGTAAGTAAGCGCGAAACTTCCAAGTGTAAGGCAATCCAAGTATCGAATCATATCGATCTAACCATAATAATATGGTCACTACCGCTTATTTGGATACCCAAATTCTACGATGATAACCGGCGACGACAGCTCTTTTTGACACCCAGATCACATATACTATAAGATTGTGTGTTTTATTCCAGGATCTGAACCACAACGTGATCGGCTGGATAGACTGGAACCTCTGCCTGAACGACCAAGGAGGCCCCAACTGGGTGAAGAACTACGTAGACTCCCCGATCATCGTCTACCCTGAGAAGAACGAGTTCATAAAGCAGCCCATGTACTACGCTATGGGGCACTTCTCTAAATTCGTGCCGAGGGGCTCCAGAAGAATTAAGTCTACGGAGAAGAAGTCGCTTCTGTCATCTTCTTTGGACAATGTGGCTTTCATCACGCAGTACAATACGGTAGTCGTCGTCGTTTATAACGGGTGAGTTAAATATTTTTTTAACATACATAAATGCAACAATCAAGTGGACAGCCTTATACTTAAAGGTAGCAGGAAGGCGCTGGATGCAGGTCGCTAGCAACCGGTCAACATGGAAATCGTCGGGTGAGGCAGGGGACGTCCTGTGGCTGAAATGATAATGAAGATGACATAAAATGCAATAGTACATAGACAAGAAAGCTGACTTTCATGATAGCGGTTTTATTTTTATTCATCGAGGATATAAAAGAGGCAGATGCTTTTCCGACTGAAGCAGACGAGTTAGGCCCAGAACACACGGTAAAACGCCACTGCAACGAAACTGCAACTTCTAGTTACTTTTGAGTTGCATCTCTAAGTTTCTGCTATAGATTCCGTTGACAGACCACACATGACGCGACCAGTTAGACCGGTTTTTTAAATCGGTTTCAAACTGGTCGCGTCATGTGTGGTCTCTCAACGGGTCTCTGTGTTCTGGGCCTTACTGTCATAACTAACTAATACCTACCTAAATAGTTTTTTTGGTGGTAATATTCATAAAGCCATCTTAGAAGATACTAATATGGCTAATGTAAAGACAGAGAAGCAAAATAATATAATTACGAGTAAGTAGGATCGAGCTATACAAACTAAGCCTCTACAGGGTCACAGGCTGTCTCATTGTTTCAAAGCAGAACCACCATGATACCTCATTATGGTGGTTCTGCTTTAAAACAATGAGATCATACAAGTGGGATTTCCTCGCAAAAAACAGTCAGTAACCCTATTATGTTTCAATAATAGTTAACAAACACACACACATTAAGTGTAACAATAAAGAGTAGAATCACGCTGTAATCCACAAATGGAATCAGGCCATTAACAGAATAATGAGTACAATTAATTATTATTATTTCGCGTAAGCACCGACTATTATTATTTTGATGATGCTATGATAACTCTTAAGTTTAAACTTGGGACCCGGAATTACACTTATACTTACCTTATATGGAGATGTAGGTGAACTCAAACACTTAAAAATTCAGCTGATTTATTTATTTAGATTTTTATCTTAGGATCTTACACGGATAGCTCTACTAGTTAGCCAGTGATATACTCGTAAACATACCCGGAGTTTATGCAGTCACAGCTTGAAGCTGTCGACACTAGCTGCTTCAAGCTGTCCGTGTTTGGCGAGCTTTTATACTAGCAATTTTAATATAATTTATTAAAAATTATTTTTTCAGTGGGGGACAGAGAGATATCTGCATAAAATTGGGCAAAACAAAGGCCACGGTGTCATTAGCGAGCAAATCTGTGGTCACCGTGGAATTCCCCATAGAACAATAACGAGGAACGGACATGTACATATTTTATTATAATTTATATAAATGATGGTAACATGACTGTAAAAGTTACGAGACCGGTTATTTATTTAATAAAAATTTTGTTACTTAAAATCTACTGTGCGGTTTTCATTAACTTAGTTTCCTTCCTCCTCAGCAAAATGAGTAGGTACTTCTTTCAAAAATTAAATAATGCAAACATATGGCTGCTACAGAATACCAGCGTTATGCTCTAGGTTCTAACCTAAAGCATAACACATGCTGAGTGGCTGCCATTTTGATTTTAATTAAACAAACTATGTAGGTACACTGTTATTGTAGTCTAAGGATTTTGGACTAAATAAAAAAAATATTCTTCAAATAATAAGAGCCCTATCTAAGAGTAGATCTTGGGGAGCAAAAAGTCAATTACTTGGGTTAAAATTACAGAAAATGAGTGGATGACTCAATGAGTCTGTTAATAAACGTTCTTTAACTAGAGGATCGTCTAGCTAGATTAGTAATTGAGAGTGGGGGTGCTCCCCTTGTAAACACAATGACGCGTTAAGGGCAGGAAATCGTCAATAGAGCTGATGATGCTCGTCATTTGATAACAGATTGTTCGGGGAGCGACCAAGTGTAAGACAACTATCAGGACAGTGAACATCATAGCACACATGTATGTCCTTTATAATTTGAAAAACTTGTAAATGCTTTTTTATCACTAAAAGACGATGCATGCTTAGCTATAGCCGCTACCTATAGGTCTCTCCCAAGGATTTCCCTAAAGGTCAATCATGTGCTGTTCACATTCAGGCGCTTCCCGCGATCTTGTTCATTCCACCAACGGGGAGGTCTGGAGTGAAAAAAGTAGTTGCTCACAGTAAGGTGATGTTTGTGAATAGCATTAATACACATCCCAAAATTTCCTTTTTACTTTTAAACCTACCGCTGCTTCACTTCGGAACCATCATGGTCGGCCAGTACTATTCTGTTGTGTGGCCTCTTCGTGACATATTCACGTTGTCGTTGTTAGGATTGGATGGATTGTTTAAATGTAGTGACAGTCAAACTGGGTCACCATTATCAGCCTCTACTCTAGTTTTAAGTTACTTACTAACAATAATTATGACTCAAGTAAGTCGAACAGAAGAAAGTGTCCCATTCAAGTTTATTCATACAGCTTAGTCACTTGGTCTTCCTACAATACGGCTTCGTTGTGGTGAGTCATAATGCGTTTACTGAGTGGCCGCGCAAAACGACGAATGTGCTGTTAACCTTAGATACACGGTGTTCTGTATTCTATGCTTTATTATTTTCTTTAACATACTTGTGAATTTAAGAGAAAGCCTTTCTGGTCTAGTGCTCTAGTGGTAAGACCACCTGCTTCATACCCAGAGGTCCCGGGTTCGATTCCCAGTGGGGGCAGATTTTTCTATTCGGTTTGGTTGGCGGCAGAGCTTGTTCTAAGTCCGCCTGGCTAGCTACCACCATCTTAGCTTAAGTCCTTAAGTCGCTTAAGACCTTAAGTCGCTAAAACAAAAATGTTAGTAGCATTGTTGTGTTCTGGCAGTTGCAGGTAAGATAGCCAGTTCCTCTGTAGTTAAGGATTCCGGGTGAAGCTCACTTCCATCTTCGGCGTGATGATCACTTTCCATCAGGTTAGATGCATCAGATGCATGCCAAGAGTTTCCTCTTTGTGATTAAAAAAAAGAGACAGCGCAATCTTGACACTTGAAAAGGGCACTACTGAGTACCCTTCTGCCTGATCATTACTTACTTTCCATCAGGTGAGATGCAGGCCAAGAGCTTCCTCGTTGTGGTTAAAAAATAAGATGCAAGAAACAGCGCAATCTTGACACTGCCTTGGAAAAGGGCACTTGGATTTTAAAAAAAAGACAACAGCACAATCTTGACACTTGACTTCGGCACTACAGACTGGCTGCAAACCGCATGGTTTGAGATTTTAAAAATCTTTGATTCTGTGCTAAACTCTAGTTTTTGCACATAACATCACCCTGTATAAGTAAGCTGTGATGTTTTTATGTAAAAAGAGGAACAGTACGTTTTGACTCATCAATTAGCGTTAATGATATTAATTATTAATAACGTTAAAGTTAAATAACAAAGCAGTTTTGTCTGCCGTTACTCATTTAAGGAACTTTGACCTGAAGTTTTGATAAGAAGTAAACTGGTATTATGACGTACATACCTTCGTAGTTTCCTTAACGACAGCTGTACCAACATAAAGCTAAACTAAGACTGTGCGCTTTAATGTCGTTATTTTAATAAATTAAAAAAATCAAATTGCCCAAGGCGGGAATGGAACCCGCAGCTTTCGCTTGCCGGGCGACAGCTCAATTTCGAACCAAAGGCAATTCGATTTTTTCAAGATATTAAACTATTCGAGATGTGACTCATAACGCTAAATTTTTTAGTAAATTATTTAATGCAGCTGCTGTTATAAATGTTTGAAACAAATAGTATAATTTGATGTGCTGTTGATTGATTGAAATTCAAAAAAATATAATTGAATCTATGCTTGAGAATGAATCTAATTTGGAGCATGATTTCTTAATGCAATTCCTCTGATACTACTCATACAACCATTTGCAGTGATCTAGCGTTACTAAACCACTAAACAGTGCAATGGTTTAAAAACAAGTTGTAAATAGGAAACCAATGATTTAATTAATTAAATAGGCCTTCTTCCTTTACTACAAATAACTTTTCCTTAACAACTATACTTAATTAAGACAAATTGGTTTCTATTCAGCGAGATCCAACAAATATTTCTCAGAACTCGTATCACATTCGCTGTATTGAACGCACAACCGGTTTGTTTATATGAATGGAGTATTATGATCTTGTAGAGTCAGTCTTTTGTTGAATTCTACAGAGTGCGCACGCGTCACTTTGTAAACTAGTTTTGATAAAAAACTAGTTGAATTTGGAACAACTAGTCGCGTAGTTTTTGCAAAATGAATCGGTATTCGGTGGTGGTTTTGCTTGCTGTGCTGGGGGGTGTTTATACTCATACATACCATTTGGGAGCCTGTCCTGTGGTAGAGCCGATGCCTGGATTTGAAATGAATAAGGTATGTTTTTTTGTTGTTATTCGAGTAAGTCCCGATTCGACCAAACTTTTATCCGAGAATAACTCCTGGTACTGGCACATTGTCAGATTCAGTACGGGAAGTAAGTCAAAACTGACGATTTATTCTGAGATTAATATTTACTCTTGTTTGGTCGAATCCACCCTAAAGCGGGTAAGTTTTTGTGTGAATAACCATACGTTTGTCAGGTTCGAAGACAAGGAGTCTCATCATAATAATATAATACTAGAGCTATAGCCTGACCAGGAACATAAAAACCCTGGCATAGAGGCGCGTCAATTGCATTTGATAGNTCTGTGTTTTTATCATTATTTAGGCAGTTCAATACTGCACAGTATTCAGTACACCATTTTCTTTTTTTCTTCCATCATACACAAGAATACGCGTGCGTGAGTCAATGTTCGCTCGTATGTGAGGCCTTGTCGAAAAGTATCCTGTAGGTGGGCCATCGTGCGTGTTTTGTTTTCGATGTAAACTCGCGGAGATGAACAGGCCTGGTATTACGGACTCTAGTCGTTAAGTTTGAGGCTGAGTTGCACCTTCTGGCTTTAACTTTGACAAACGTCAAAAATCTGTCAAACTCCATATAAAAAGCACCGGCTATTGTTATTGTTACGTTTAAAATAAGGTGGTGCATCTCAGCCTAAATGTTTAAATGTTGATTGAGGAAAATCTATACTGATTTGAGATCCATGGCGAAAATTCTGTTAAAAATCATTGAAATTATTAGTAGATATTGGTCTGCGTCGTGGTCGTGGATTTCAATCTGTCTTAAAAGATAACTTCCACATTGTAATTGTCTATTATTTGTGCAGGTGCTAATTGTACAGGTGCCTAACAGACTAATTCAGGCTTAGTCACTACCCAAAAAATAATATCTCTACATTTTAATTTTTTACTATTTGTACAGGTGCCTAACAGGCAAATAATTTAGGCTTTGTCCCTATCCGAAAAATAATATATTTACTACATTTTCATTTTCTGCTATTTGTGCAGGTGTTATTTGTACAGGTGCCTAACAGGCCAATTTGGGATTAGTCACTACCCGAAAAATAATGATTATTTTGCAATAATTTTGAGTTAAGTACCTGTTTTTAGACACGAGGTTAAGGTTACTTGCTAGCAGTTCTATGTTATTGATTGACAAGTTAAGGTAATATACAACAAAAATAAAATAAAGATGCAAGTTTTTAGTGTGTGACGTGAAATCAATACTATTCCAATGTCAGTCAAACAAATGTGTGATGGCTTATTTTGAAAAGAAGAAAATTAATAGGTATCGCGCAGTTTCCAACATTTGAAATGTTTTCTGAATAAATTAATAATATTATTATCACAATTACTACCCTAAGTGGCAACAATATTCAACATGACTGTATTAAGTAAGTACTACCTATGTACTTAGAGAGTCGACTATTTACTTTACACGAATTAATGGGCTTATAACAAAAAGTTCAACGACCGCTCTGAACACATGTTTAAATTGTCATTTAGTATGGAAATTTCATTTTAATTAATAATTATATTGTACCTTTTCAGATCCCCATGCTCAAAGCAATCCTGGCGGCCGCTACCAAGCCAGTGCACCTGGTGGCTACGACCTGGTCTCCTCCGGCCTGGATGAAGACCAACGACCAGTATACAGGCTTCAGCCGGTTGAAGCCAGAGTATTATCAGACTTATGCTGATTACCATGTAAAGTAAGTTTCCTGTGAGACATGGAGTTGTTGATGGATTTTATTTTTATACCTACAGTTATTATAAAAGCGACTCCAAGGTCAGCGTAAGGAGTATGGGATCCTCCATTGGCTTTCTTTCATTTTTCTGTCGTGTTCCTGCTGTGGACACTAAATGAACTGATGATAATGATTATACAATCCGAGATGATAATCAGTCCAACAGTGTCGGCATCGGACTGGCCGATTCGAGACTCCAGGATTGCTAAATTAGATCTCCGACTAGATAGTGGACTGTATTGGTAAACCCACTCTTAATACAATCATTATTTAATATTCAGCTTAATGAGACTTGAAAGGGTTAAGGCCTATTCAAACCTGAGCGATATTCGCTGCCGCCGTGAGTAGAGGTACATACCGCGCGGGTTTCGCTCAGGATTTAGTATCAAGTATCGCGGCTAGATCGACCTGAGCGATATTCGCTGCCACTGTGTGCATCTAGAGGTACATACCACGCGGGTTTCGCTCAGGTATTTAGAATCAAGTACCGCGGCTAGAGCGTTTTCTCTGCCGCAGACGGTAGTGAATACCGCTTAGGTCTGAACAGTATTATTACCGCATACCCACTGGGTTTTCTCTGCCGCAGACGGTAGCGAATACCGCTTAGGTCTGAATAGGCCTTTATGGGATTTAGTTTAAAATTACCAGTAATGGGAGTTATAGATGGCATTTTTTCTGTCTCAGGTTTCTAGAGAAATATACTGCCGAAGGGATACCCATCTGGGGTATAACGACTACAAACGAGCCGATCAACGGAGTGTTCAACTTGGCCTCCTTCAACTCTCTTGGCTGGTCCCCGAGTGATATGGTTTGTACATACATTTAATATTTCTCAGTTGTTCTTTTTTGCCTTTTCACACAAAGTTAAACAGTTGACTATTAAAGTTTGTACTCGTATGGAGAGGCCACTTAAACTTTGCGATTACCCTAGTTTTTAGTACGTTACTAGCTGACCCGGCGAACTCTGTTCCGCCTTAAAGGCAATAAATAAGCAAATCTTTCCTTATTTGCTCACCGTTTAGACCTACCCTGGACCACGACAAACATTTTAACACCAAAATCAGCTCAATCGGCCCAGCTGTTCTCGAGTTTTAATCAGACTAACGAACATCAATTCATTTTTATTTATATAGATAGATTGTATTGTATTGTATACCTACTTAATGTTTTTATTGTTCCTCTTTCCAGGGAAGTTGGATAGTGAATAACTTGGGACCAACGATACGGAATTCCACCTTCAAAGATCTGAAGATCATCACTCTGGATGACCAGCGAGTCACCATTCCCGTTTGGTTTAATTTGGTAGGATTAACTAACTTATACGTAGGTTAAAACATTGTTAAATAAATAAAATTAAATTACGAGCTAAAATCTATAGCATTAATATTAGTGTTGGTGTCGGATTCGGATTCAAGGAACGCGTGTTCGATCCCCGCTGCGCCTCTTTGTGTTGATACTAATCGTAACACAAGCATAATAACATTTAGTTTGATACAAAGCCTTTGTATTAGTAATAAAGTCCTGCTAACCCTTTGTAACAAAGGGTTAGCAGGACTTTATTTAAAAAAATAAGGAAAAAAATTAATAAGGTCAAATTATGTTAAATTCTAACGCCCATATTCACAAACGATACTTGCTTGAGCAAAAAATCGAACGCACAGCATTAAAAAAAATTCTGTGATTGGTTTATGTGTCATCCTGTGCGTCCTAGAAAATCTAAGAAAAATATTAATTCGTTATTTTTATCCAGAGATCTTAAACTTATTAATTACAAAATTTTCACAGATGATAAAGAAGTATCCAGAAGCTCTTCAATACATAGACGGAGTGGGAGTCCACTACTACACAGACAAATTCGTCCCCGCGTCGGTTTTGTCCCTGATTTCCAATTCTCACCCGGACAAGTTCATACTGGCAACTGAAGCTTGTGAAGGTGAGCATTAATGACTAAGGCTGAGTTGAACCACTTAACTTTGATCGTAACTACCTATAACGATAACCGGTTTTTTTGTATGGAGTTTGACAAATTTTTGACGTTTGTCAAAGTTAAAGCACAAGTTAAAGTAAGATGGTGCAACCCAGCCTAAGTATTCGCTCGCGTTAAAATCGTGACTTTTCGAAAACCTAACTTTTTGAAAACTAGTTGAAGACCAAACTTTTTGAAAACATAATTGTTTAAAAACTTTCTGTTCCAAAACCTAGCTTTTCGAAGACCTAACTCTTTTTTATTCGGTTTTTACAGGTTCAATGCCATGGCAAACCGAGAAAGTGATCTTGGGCTCCTGGACCAGAGCAAAAAGCTATATCGTTGACATCATTGCGGTGAGTGTGCATTTTATTTATTAATGCACCTGTCCTAACAATTAGTCGTTCGTGTCCAAATGATGTCCACTGCTGGACAAAGGCCTCCCCCAAGGCTTTCTATAACGATCGATCCTGCGCTGCCCGCAACCAGGTTCTTCCCGCAAAATCTTACTTTCAATATTATCAAAGTTTGGAGTGGCAAAACCCTCCACTATAGTGGAGGAGGATCATAGTCCAACAGTGGACTGTAAAGGGTTGTTGATAATGATGATGATGATGATGAGTAGCTAAAAATCGATGGGCAGTTTTTTGACATGCCCACTTCGGGACCTCATACTACAAGTTAAGGAACCATGTTTTACGAAATAGGCGATAATATTATAGCCTATGGCAAGCGCGAAACTTCCAAGTGCTTACATAATTGCATAATGGAATCAAATACTTGGAATGCCTTAGCAATCCAAGTATCGAATCATATCTATCTGACTATAATAATATGGTAGTGACGACGGCTTATTTGGACACCGAAATTCTACGATGATGACCGGCGACAGCTCTTTTTGACACCCAGATTCTTACAAATCACATATAACCTACTATAAGATTATGTGTTTTATTCCAGGATCTGAACCACAACGTGATCGGCTGGATAGACTGGAACCTCTGCCTGAACGACCAAGGAGGCCCCAACTGGGTGAAGAACTACGTAGACTCCCCGATCATCGTCTACCCTGAGAAGAACGAGTTCATAAAGCAGCCCATGTACTACGCTATGGGGCACTTCTCCAAATTCGTGCCGAGGGGCTCCAGAAGAATTAAGTCTACGGAGAAGAAGTCGCTTCTGTCATCTTCTTTGGACAATGTGGCTTTCATCACGCCGTACAATACAGTAGTCGTCGTCGTTCATAATGGGTGAGTTAAATTTTTTTTTAACATACATAAATGCAACAGTCAAGTGGACAGCCTAATACTTAAAGGTAGCAGGAAGGGGCTGGATGCAGGTCGCTAGCAACCGGTCAACATGGAAATCGTCGGGTGAGGCAGGGGACGTCCTGTGGATGAAATGATGATGAAGATGACATAAAATGCAATATTGCATAGACAAGAAAGCTGACTTTCATGATTGAGGCTTTATTTTTCTTCATCGAGGATATAAAAGAGGCAGATGCTTTTCCGACTGAAGCAGACTAGTTAGGCCCAGAACACACGGTAAAACGCAACTGCAACGAAACTGCAACGAAACTGCAACTTCTAGTTACTTTTGAGTTGCATCTAAGTTTCTGCTATAGATTCCGTTGACAGACCACACATGACGCGACCAGTTTGACCGGTTTTTTAAATCGGTTTCAAACTGGTCGCGTCATGTGTGGTCTCTCAACGGGTCTCTGTGTTCTGGGCCTTACTGTCATAACTAACTAATACCTACCTAAATAGTTTTGTTGGTGGTAATATTCATAAAGCCATCTTAGAAGATACTAATATGGCTAATGTAAAGACAGAGAAGCAAAATAATATAATTACGAGTAAGTAGGATCGAGCTATACAAACTAAGCCTCTACAGGGTGACCCTGTAGAGGCTTAGTTTGTATAGCTCAGACAGTGGTTATTTATGTTGGTATCTACAGCTAAACAATGAGATCACACCAATGGGATTTCCTCCCAAAAAAGTCAGTAACCCTATTATGTTTTAATAATAGTTAACAAACACACATTAAGTGTAACAATAAAGAGTAGAGTCACGCTGTAATCCACAAATGGAATCAGGCCATTAACGTAATAATGAGTATAATTAATTATCATTATTTCGCGTAAGCACCGACTATTATTATTTTGATGATGCTATGATAACTCTTAAGTTTAAACTTGGGACCCGGAATTACACTTATACTTACCTATTATATGGAGATGTAGGTGAACTCAAACACTTAAAAATTCAGCTGATTTATTTATTTAGATTTTTATTTTAGGATCTTACACGGATAGCTCTACCATTTAGCCAGTGATATAAACATACCCGGAGTTTATGCAGTCACAGCTTGAAGCTGTCGACACTAGCTGCTTCAAGCTGTCCGTGTTTGGCGAGCTTTAAACTAGCAATTTTAATAATTTATTAAAAATTATTTTTTCAGTGGGGGACAGAGAGATATCTGCATAAAATTGGGCAAAACAAAGGCCACGGTGTCATTAGCGAGCAAATCTGTGGTCACCGTGGAATTCCCCATAGAACAATAACGAAGAACGGACATGTATTTTATTATAATTTATATAAATGATGGTAACATGACTGTAAAAGTTACGAGACCGGTTATTTATTTAATAAAAATTTTGTTACTTAAAATCTACTGTGCGGTTTTCATTAACTTCCTTCCTCCTCAGCAAAATGAGTAGGTACTTCTTTCAAAAATTAAATAATGCAAACATATGGCTGCCACAGAATACCAGCGTTATGCTCTAGGTTCTAACCTAAAGCATAACACATGCTGAGTGGCTGCCATTTTGATTTTAATTAAACAAACTATGTAGGTACACTGTTATTGTAGTCTAAGGATTTTGGACTAAATAAAAAAAATCTTCTTCAAATAATAAGAGCCCTATCTAAGAGTAGATCTTGGGGAGCAAAAAGTCAATTACTTGGGTTAAAATTAGAGAAAATGAGTGGATGACTCAATGAGTCTGTTATAAACGTTCTTTAACTAGAGGATCGTCTAGCTAGATTAGTAATTGAGAGTGGGGGTGCTCCCCTTGTAAACACAATGACGCGTTAAGGGCAGGAAATCGTCAATAGAGCTGATGATGCTGGTCATTTGATAACAGATTGTTCGGGTAGCGACCAAGTGTAAGAAAACTATGTAGGACAGTCTTCTTAGTCTTTTTGCAGTCAATAGGCGGTAGCGGCGTAGCATGGGTTGGCATCCCCCATGCTCCGTCATAAGTCACCTTGATGGTCACCCCAGAATGAGAGAATGATCTGGTGCCCCCCAGGATTTTTGGGTTACCGATTTGAAGAAGAAAGATGTTAGAAACCATTCATCGCAAACCCTCCTCCGTATCATGGCATATCATGCGCCAGTGAGTACTAATCTGCGCGACTGTTGTCACCCCCTGATGCTTGGCACCCGGGGCCATATGATGACGTCGAGAACTTTTCTGCCCCAACGGCCATCATACTATGAGCTATGTGCATCGCTGACACTTAATTTTAACGATTCTCTGTGCTATGTAGGGTAAACCAGAGAGTGATTGCCCACTGGTAGTGATTGCCCGCTTTAAGAATAATATTGTCAGGTGCTGACTTTGAATCACTCTAGTTAGATTTGAATTTACTAAGTCATCTACTTCGTGATCAATGTACAGTAGNGACTGTACTTTTTGGACGATTTTAAATTTATTTCAATATTTTCTAAGTTACGCAAGTTTTAACTAAAAACTGTTAATATTCTGTTTAACAGTTTATTGAGTTATAAGAAAAAAGTCATAAATGGTCTATAATTAAAATACTTTCTTTAATTTTTCATCTCAATGTGTTTGAAATCTTTAAGTGGGCAATAGCTATACGGTTTACCCTATGTATAATCTATTCCATCTGGCGTAATAACCGCTTCTCTATCTAATCTAAGCAATCAGTAAGTCTTTTTTAATGCGAACAGGTAGCGACTGGAATTCGCTGCCTGCTGCTTTTCCTGTCTTTCCCGAACACTATAATGGGCCTTTTCAAGGCGAGAGTGAATAGGCACTTAGGTAAAGGGCAGATACGTACCGTATAATTGTGGAATTCTGCAAAAGAAAAATAATTTTGGACTAGGTGTTTGGTATGAATAGAAATGGTGATCCAATGCTGAGAAGCAGTGAAAGAAACTGGGGCATTATTGTTAGCCTCTACTCTTCAGACTCTTCTTACTTACAATATTATGACTCAAGTAAGTCATCGAACAGAAGAAAGTGTCCCATTCAAGTTTATTCATACAGCTTAGTCACTTGGTCTTCCTACAATACGGCTTCGTTGTGGTGAGTCATAATGCGTTTACTGAGTGGCCGCGCAAAACAACGAATGTGCTGTTAACCTTAGATACAGGATGTTCTGTATTCTATGTTTTATTATTATCTATAACATACTTGTGGATTTAAAATAATGCCTTTCTGGTCTAGTGCTCTAGTGGTAAGACCACCTGCTTCAGACCCAAAGGTCTCGGGTTCGATTCCCAGTGGGGGCAGATTTTTCTATTCGGTTTGGTTGGCGGCAGAGCTTGTTCTAAGTCCGCCTGGCTAGCTACCACCATCTTAGCTTAAGTCCTTAAGTCGCTTAAGACCTTAAGTCGCTAAAACAAAAATGTTAATAACATTGTTGTGTTCCGGCAGTTGCAGGTAAGATAGCCAGTTCCTCTGTAGTTAAGGATTCCGGGTGAAGCTCACTTCCATCTTCGACGTTATCATTACTTTCCATCAGGTTAGATGCATCAGATGCATGCCAAGAGTTTCCTCGTTGTGATAAAAAAAAAGAGACAGCGCAATCTTGTCACTTGAAAAGGGCACTACTGAGTACCCTTCTGCCTGATCATTACTTACTTTCCATCAGGTGAGATGCAGGCCAAGAGTTTCTTCGTTGTGGTTAAAAAATAAGATATAAGAAACAGCGCAATCTTGACACTTTCATGGAAAAGGGCAATTGGATTTAAAAAAAAGGCAACAGCACAATCTTGACACTTGACTTGGGCACTACAGACTGGCTGCAAACCGCATGGTTTGAGATTTTAAAAATCTTTGATTCTGTGCTAAACTCTAGTTTTTGCACATAACATCACCCTGTATAAGTAAGCTGTGATGTTTTTATGTAAAAAGAGGAACAGTACGTTTTGACTCATCAATTAGCGTTAATGATATTAATTATTAATAACGTTAAAGTTAAATAACAAAGCAGTTTTGTCTGCCGTTACTCATTTAAGGAACTTTGACCTGAAGTTTTGATAAAAAGTAAACTGGTATTATGACGTACATACCTTTGTAGTTTCCTTAACGACAGCTGTACCTACATAAAGCTAAACTAAGACTGTGGCTTTAATGTCGTTATTTTAATAAATTCAAAAAATCTAATTGCCCAAGGCGGGAATCGATCCCGCGGCTTTCGCTTGTCGGGCGACAGCTCAATTTCGATTCCGACCAAAGGCAATTCGTTTTTTTTATCCACAACGAGGAAGCTCTTGGCCTGTATCTCACCTGATGGTAAGTGATGATCAGGCCGAAGATTTTCAAGATATTAAAATATTCGAGATGTGACTCTTAACGCTAATTTTTTTTAATAAATTATTTAATGCAGCTGCTGTTATGTTTTAAACAAATAGTATAATTTGATGTGCTGTCGATTGATTGAAATTAAAAAATATATAATTGAATCTATGCTTGAGAATGAATCTATAATAATTTGGAGTATGATTTCTTAAGCAATTCCTATGATACTACTCATACAACCATTTGCAGTGATCTAGGCATCTAGCGTTACTAAACCACTAAACAGTGGTTAAAAAAATAACTTGTAAATAGGAAACCAATGATTTAATTAATTAAATAGGCCTTCTTCCTTTACTACAAATAACTTTTCCTTAACAACTATACTTAATTAAGACAAATTGGTTTCTATTCAGCGAGATCCAACAAATATTTCTCAGAACTCGTATCACATTCGCTGTATTGAACGCACAACCGGTTTGTTTATATGAATGGAGAATTATGATCTTGTAGAGTCAGTCTTTTGTTGAATTTTACAGAGTGCGCACGCGTCGCTTTGTAAACTAGGTTTGATAAAAAAAACTAGTTGAATTTGGAACAACTAAGTCGCGTAGTTTTTGCAAAATGAATCGGTATTTGGTGGTGGTTTTGCTTGCTGTGCTGGGGGGTGTTTATACTCATACATACCATTTGGGAGCCTGTCCTTTGGTAGAGCCGATGCCTGGATTTGAAATGAATAAGGTATGTTTTTTTGTTGTTATTCGAGTAAGTCCCGATTCGACCAAACTTTTATCCGAGAATAACTCCTGGTACTGGCACATTGTCAGATTCAGTATGGGAAGTAAGTCAAAACTGACGATTTATTCTGAGATTAATATTTACTCTTGTTTGGTCGAATCCACCCTAAAGCGGGTAAGTTTTTGTGTGAATAACCATACGTTTGTCAGGATCGAAGACAAGGAGTCGCATCCTATAATACTAGAGCTACCATTTTAACTACCATCTTAGGCTGAGTTGCACCACCTAACTTTGACCGTAACTTCAACGAACCGGTGTTTTTTGTATGGAGTTTGACAGATTTTTGACGTCTGTCATAGTTAAAGTAGGATGGTGCAACCCAGCCTTAGTTTTGAATGTTCAAAATTTTAATACTTTCTGAGCAAACTAAAGTTTCATTAAGTAGGTACGTAACGTAGTTTACTGGGTTTATTTAATTCGTTTTTTAGCATAATCTATGTGAGTCACACAATTTTTTAACATTAACTAACACTAATTATACTTAGGTACGGAAGCAAATAAAAAACTAATGTTTATTTTGGGTAATTTAAGAGCATGAATAAATTATTCATTTCATTTAGACAGCCTTGACTTTCAATCCATTGTATGCAAAACATTTGCCTATTAATGAGAATTTCGGAAGTCACTATCTTCATTCTTTTGGCCTATAATATTATCTACACTTAGATGAATCAGTAGGTCTAGACAAGTGGCACTCTTTGGTCGAATCGAAAATCGAATTCATTCACGGAGCGATGTAACTACGGTTGCCAGGTCCAAAAACACAAAAGCCTTTGGCCGGACATTTTACCCTAAAAGCCGGACATGTGACGGGGGGGGGGGTGCAATTAGTGTCATAGCTCACGAGTGAGTACTTCATCGTATTATCGGTGCCAACATAACATCCTGATGCGTGCGCTTTATATTATTGTGTGACTCGACTATAAAAAGCCTAACAAAAGCCGGACAGGCCGCTCAAGACAATATTTGGCCGGACAAGACCGTAAGACCGTAAAAAGCCAAACATGTCCGGCTAAAGCCGGACGCCTGGCAACCCTAGATGTAACTCCATACAAAATTTATTTCTATCTTGTCTAGGGGGGCTGTACTCATAAACGAAACAATCATCCGAATTCACAAATACTACACTTAAGTTAAGTAACAAATCGAACGCACAGCGTTGAATAGAGCTCTGTGATTGGTTAGTATGTCACTCTGTGCGTCCACGCGCACTGTGAGACCTCATAGTAGTGTTTGTGAATACGGGCGTTTCTGTTACGGAGTGATCTATCTGTGAAAATCTGCCCCCAAGGATTTTCACAACGATCAGTCTTGCGCTGTTCACATTCTAGTGATTCCCGCCATCTTCATCAGATCCTCGGTCTATCCAGGAAGCCTGAACACTGCATTTTCCGGCCCGTGGTCGCCACTCGTACCTACTTCTTTTAGGATTGCCCCATACTTTAACTTTCGTCATCGTCATCATCATTTCAGCCATAGGACGTCCACTGCTGAATATAGGCCTCCCCCAATGCTTTCCATGTTGATGGATTGGTAGCGGCCTGCGTCCAGCGCTTCCCCGGTACCTTTAACAAACGTCAAAAGTCTGTCACAAACTCCATACAAGAAACAGCGGTTATCGTTACAGTTACGGTTAAAGTTAGGCGGTGCAACTCAGCCCTGTACTTACCTATCTGTAATCGAAGAAGGATGTTGACATTTCACATGACTGCGATAATTGATAACGGTAAAGTAACCGTATAATGATAATCACCAGTCTTTTGTTTGACATTATGTCTGTATTTTTGTTAATGGAGGTCAAACATGACTCTATCTAAGTAGCTCATATGGAAGAGCAGTCCCGCAAGCGAAAGGTCGTGGGTTCAAATCCCGCCTAAGGCAATTCGATTTTTTCAATTCAAGTTAGTATTTACAATTTTCAAAATGACTCTACCAACCCAAATTCCCATTTAAACATTAATAGCACACGAAAACTCAATGATGATGGCCTGAATGTCTTCGAAGGTAGGTCCACCACAGTTCGGTTCCTACTCAATCCAGATCACAAAACGGTAACTAAAAATGTATCGTTCTGTAGCAGAAGGAATATAATTTATATTGAGAACTATGTACTTAGTTAATTAAGTGCATAATTCATGAAAAAAATCTACATACGAGTAGATTTTGAACTAAAAAAAACATCAACGATTTTGTTATTGTCTTATTTTCTCAACCTACTCTATGTTTACGTAGAGTTGACCGTTTCCAACGATATCTCTATACTAGATAACAGAAGATATGTCTCACAGTCACAAAGGAAGAACTCACTGACGACCCCTCTGATAACATTAACTCACATTCAGACAACGATCAGTATTGTACGTATGAATAGCGAGATTGTATGTGCGCACAAATACAGCAGCACTGTCATTTCAAATAGTTGTATGTGAAACGAATAATAGCATCCAATCTATACTAATATTATAAAGCTGAAGAGTTTGTTTATTTGTTTGTTTACTTGAACGCGCTAATCTCCGGAACTACTGGTCCGATTTGAAAAATTCTTTCAGTTGTGCTGTTAGATAGCCCATTTATTGAGGGAGGCTATACAACCTCACGCTACGATCAATAGGAGCAGAGAAATAATGAAAAATGTTGCGAAAACTGGTTTTCACGCGTACGAAGTCGCGGGCATAGCTAGTCATGTTATAAAGATGATTAAGTTTCTTGCGTTGCTTCTTCTCAGGTTAAAGTTATATTAGGACGTTCTTTTAGCAGCTTAATTTCAGTTAATAAATGACTTTTAAGGCGACATTAATCTGTATGCAGGCACTTTAAATAATCATATTATTATTTAGATTTAATTCTTGGAAGTTTATTAACTAACGGTGTCCAGTAAAAAATACATACAGGTTTAACAAAGCCTGTAATTGGAAAAGAAAACGTTTTATTTTTTCTCTCAAAAACGTTCTGTTTTGATACGATTCTTTAAGACGACTCTAGCTACATTTTTTACCCGACTGCGCCAGAAGGAGGGTTATTGATGGGTATGTAAGACACGTTGCTTGTCCCTCATGGTTCTCAAATAACTATATACAGGGTGGAATTTTGTAATGACACCTGGAGGGAAAGTACTTTCAATATTGTAGGTAGATAGAAAATTTTTCTCAAAGAAAACATTCCTTTATTTTTGAAAAGAAGTAGAACTGCATTCAAAGATTTCCAAAAATTTGCTTGCCACACTTGGGTATCGAACCAACTAAAATCTGTTAAAAATTACACCCTGTATTTTTATTGCATCGATCGTCGAATCAGAAATGAGGAGATCCGCAGGAGAACCAAGGTGACCGACATAGCTTGCAGAATTGCTAAAATCAAGTGGCAGTGGGCGGGGCACATAGCTCGTAGGGTCAAGTATAAGGATGAAATCTTTCTAACAAACTTGATAAATCAAATGAAAGGAAATCCATAAAATCTTTAATTATTTTAATTATGTACAGAAAATTGTATGGTATGGTAGTGAATTTTCGAAAAAATTTTGAAAATCTATGAATGCAGTTCTTTTTCTTTTCAAAAATAAAGGAACGTTTTCTTTCAGTAAAATTTTCTATCTGCAGTATTAAGAGTACTTTCCCTCCAGGTGGCATTACAAAATTCCACCCTGTATAATAGAATAGGAAATATGGAGGAAACTTTTGTATGATGACTAACTCGTATTACCTGCAACTTGAGTTATTCATAAAATGTTATGATTTATAGTATGAATCATAACATTTTATACCATTATTGTGAAAATTTGATTCGATAACATAACAATGCATAACTACGACAATTTCTATTGTTGTGTAGGTTCGTTTTATATGGAGATCCCGTTTTCAAATCGTTTAGATAGAATGTGCCATTGTATTGTTAGTTTTTGTTGTGCGTTTAACATGTAAGTACTTAACGCCAGGGCCGGATTAACCATCAAAATCAAAATCAAATCTAAAGTATTTATTCAGTTTAGACCACAAGTGGCACTTATGAACGTCAAAATTATTATAGAAAATGATAAAAAAAGAAAAGTTAGCCCTTATGGGGCACTTTACATGTCTCCTTATCTTTTGGGCCCTACCATCTCGGGGCCCCTAGGCACAGCTCGTTTCGGGCCCCCCTTTTCTTGTCGCAGAGGAAATGCTTTGCGCACCGTCACCGCTGCTGGGGGACAGGGTGGTGTGTGGGACTCCCTGCGCCCTAAGAAGGGCGCTGCTCCGTCTTGAAAAGGACGGGGTATACCCACTAAAACCTCCGCGGCGTTCCGTCATCGCCCAAGTGGGGGTGTCGCGAGTATCCAGCCGTATCCTTAGACTTCCGCGACACCACCGGCGACAGCTCGCCTACACGGCGGATCCTACACGCCCCCCTTGTGGGGATCCGTCGGGAATGGCCCGAAACGCCAAGCTGGTCCCGTCAGACGGAGGTGACAAGGGTGCCCCCGCACCTCTGGCCTGCTGGCCGCCACCTGGGGGCTGAGTAGAACGGTCGTACAACCACCTTCTCCACCCCCTTCTCCGCCTGCGGAGCGATGAGGCGAGAGGATCGTTCTCCCGCTCGCGTTCCGCTGCCTCCTTCTGAAGGATGACCTCTTCGCAAAAGAAGGCGACCGCCATCCAGCATCCTTCACTTCCCAGCATGGCGTTGACCAGGCTCGAAAGATCCCGGCCCACGACCGCAGTGAGGACACGGCGCTGCTCCTCCCAGCCTGTGCAGATCGCGAGGGTGTGCTGCAACCGTGTCATCCGCCGCGCCGCATTTGTGTGTATCACGGGGATTCCTCTAGCCCGATTCTATGCAGGTACGAACCGAAACAGCCATGCCCGGTCAGCACCTGCGCCAGACGGAACGTGAGGAACCCGTGCGGTCGTTCCAACCATTGGTCCAGAACAGGACCAATGGCGTCCAGAGTGCGGCGGCCAAACTGCGCGCGAGTCATGTCTTCGTTCCAGCGGTCGATCATGATCTCGCGCTCTTCCTACCTGACAGAGCCGCGCCGCTCCGGGGCCGGTCGCTTTCCACGCGTCTTCTGGTCTACCATCCAGTGATAGATGGCAGACAAGACCCCAGATTTTAGCTCCCAAGGAGGAGTACCAGCGAGGACGCATGCCGCAGCGTGCCCTACCGTGCGGTAGGTCCTTGCGACTTTCTGCGCTATGGCCCGCTGGGGGCTGCGCAGAAGGGCAGAATTCTCCCTCTTGTTGAGTGCGTCCGCCCAGATTAGGGCGCTATACAGCGCCATGCTCCTCAGAACGCCGGCATAAAGTCGAAGACACCTCGTTTGTGGCCCTCCCAAATTCGGGAAGAGCCAACTCAATGCGCCGGCTGCCTTGAGGAGGCGTGGCGTACTTCAAAGGGCTAGCCTTTGAAGTACGGGCTAAAATGCCATCTCCCGTCAAGCGTGAGGCCCAGGTATTTTATCTGACCTTTGACGTCAATCCTAACGTCCTCAACCACAATGTGGGCGTCGGGAGGAGTGCGCTGGCGAGGCCCCGGAAAGAAGAGGGCCTCGGTCTTCTCCAGCGCGACTTTCAGGCCGAGGCATCGTATTCTGCGAACGACTAATGTGCCGCCCGCCGACGCCAGCCGTGCCGCGGCCCCATATGTCTTCCCCCGGGCAGTGACCAGAATGTCATCCGCATAGCATACGACACTCATGCCCGCGAGAAGGACGCCCCGGAGGAGCCACTTGAAGCCCAGGTTCCACAAGAGTGGACCGAGCACCGAACCCTGCGGAACCCCGCTGGCTACGCCGCGCCGTTTGAACTGGCCGTCTCTGTTAACATACAGGACTTCGAGGTCCCGTAAGTAATTGGCCAGCAGCGCTCGTAGCTACTGAGGCACTCTGTGATGTTTAAGTGCCTAGAGTATGGTGGAATGAGGGATGGTATTGAAAGCGTTGGTTATATCGAATGATACAGCCAACACACCCTCACCCCTCTCCCTAGCTTCCGCAGTGAGGCTTTTTAGCCTCTGTAGGGCGTCGACTGTCGAACTGTCATGTAAACCAAAGCAGTAATGCCAACGTTACGAATATGAATTAGGTTCCACAATATCGAAATATGACGATTGAATGTGTAAACCAAAATAAGGCGAAGTTTTGAGGTGATTTGAGTTTTGTTGCATAAAAATAATCTTTAACATTTTTTTTTTCATTTTTTTATCGGGAGTGCTGGGCCCCTGGTCATAGTGGGCCCCTAGGCACTGGCCTAAAGTGCCTTATGGATAATACGGCACTGCTTAACGCCCGTATTCACAAACAATGCTTGCTTAAGTGAAGCAGCATATCGAACGCACAGCGTTGAATAGAGCTTTGTGATTGGTTCATGTGTCACCCTATGCGTCCACGCGCACTGTGAGACCTCATAGTAATGTTTGTGAATACGTTTGTAAATGACTACAAAGCCCGCTGAAGCTACAGAATTTTGTTCAGGCAGTGTATATCGTAACTTGTTTTTGAAAGGTCTCTACCAAATTAATTAAACTTATATTGTAGACGCAGGATTGTTTTCTTATTTCCTATATAAAAATGCTAGCTTAAACAAAATATTTATAAGAATGGTCAATAATAATAGGTGGTCAAATAAAGTACGCCTAAGTTAAATTGAATTTTGTTATTGTCACCAATCTATAGGTTTGTGTTATGCAATACCATCACGTAGTTACCTAGTTACCTTTTACACTTACTTGTACGTTTTGTTATTATGCATGTCGATTGAAAAGAGGTCGATAACAAATCACTATTGTTCAGATATACCTACTACAGCTACTTTACCCATTTATTGAATTTAGCCTAGGCGCAGACCGCCGATTTTTTGTCGGCCGATAGTTTAGTCGGGAAAATCAGTATGGGCATGTATGGAAGTGCGCACATTACACCGATTTGGTATCGGTTGATTCTTCATACAAATTAAAATCGGGCCCAACTATCGACCAACTAAAATTTGATAGTCTGTGCATAGGTCTAAATAAAATGTTCTTTGATGTCGTGCAAAAATAGTAAGAACATTTAAATATAAGAAATACTTATAAAACAGTTTCGTTTGGAAAATTATCTGTGTCAGTTAACTCCATACTTTTGACTAAAATCGCTCCAGCTGTTTAGACGTGAAGGAGTAACAAACATACACACTGTGATAGTGGGATTATTTTATGACTAGCGGCCGCCCGCGACTTCGTACGCGTGGATCCCGTTTTACCCCCTTAGGGGTGGAGTCTCGTAAAATCCTTTCTTAGCGAATGCCTACGTCATAAAATTTACCTGCATGTCTTTCAGCCCGATTCGTCCAGTTGAAGTGGTTTGGGCTGTGCGTGTGTTGATAGATTACAATGTCAGTCAGTCAGTCAGTCACCTTTTTTGAGTTATATATATTTAGAAGACTAATGAAACTCATCCCACCTTTCCAGCTCCTGGGTGTATGGTACGTCATCCAGAAAACATCAACGGCTTCTCACTGCATCACGTACAACTTCACCAAGACGCCCGAGCCCGGGAAGTATGAGCTGGAACAGGTCTCCCAGCACTTCATCTTGGGATTGACTCCGTTGAAGCATGATTACAGGTTTGTTACTTTCAGTTATCTATAATGCCCTCAATCTATTTGACAACGAACTGACTTACCCCAAGACAAAGAAACATGATTCCCGATTGCAAAAAACCCTTCTGAATCTTTAAGGTAACTTATGTTTTTCATCCACATCGGGAAAGGTCTTGATCAGCGTCTATTTGATGTGATGATGATGATTCTGGACGGCATTTGATGGACGCCTACCCTCTTGCTCCTTCAGTTACCAAAAATTCAGTTCAATTTGCTGAATAAATTACATAAGTTCATAACCAAGATATTTATACTTTATTTCTTGTCTTAAGTGTAAGAAAAGGTTTATGGATGTAATGGTTTTATAACTTTAGAATCTAAATTTTTCTAGAGTCTACACAATTGCTTCACAGGGCCATGTATTAGTTGTTACCACCAAGTATGAAAACTATTGTATGAAAAATAAGACTGGAGCGAAGTAGTTTCGTTACTTCTTAGGAGGGCTGGCTGTTTGCATTTCGCATGAGCCTTTATAAATGTGATTAGATTTATACATGGTAAAGACTATTCATTTTGGGAACTAATTATTGGGCGATAGAATACGTACCTACCCTACCTACTATAGGAATTCATATCTTTCAGATACACCGGTATCCTGACAGTCCCGGACCCAGCTGTTCCTGCAAGGATGAAAGTGCGATTCCCTCTTAGTAAGTACATATTATTGATAATTTTCTTTCTTCTTCACTACTTTAAATCAGAATTTCCTAATTGGATAACCTACAATGTTACTACAATACTACCTATCTACTAGGTAATTCTGTGAAATGACGTAAGGTAAGACCAAATTCCTTTAATATCATTAACAGTGAGCACCCTCTTATGTGTAGGAGGTAAACTGTACTAGAATGTTCCTCATTCCTAATAGAACTTGCCTATCTAAGTCTAACGGTAGAGCCATTTATAGATATTACATTCATAACAGTTTATGTACCTACTATCTGAAATGTTTAATACTGACCTTATAGTTTTATCTTACCAGTAAATAAATAGGATGCTAGTAAATCTTACATAAGTTATCATCATAGGTACGTATAGGCATTTTCTTATGATGAGGAAATTATTTATAGAGGATTTGTAATTGACTCAGCAATCCATTGATAGTATTGATAGTACATATACTTACTTATGTAAAGTACTCTGTACTGTAATGGGATATAAGTGGAATATCACGTTATCATACACGTTCTGTTGACAAATAGCAACTGCTGTAGTCATGTTACTTTAACCGGTGCTTTTACTCCAACCTTCTTCAAAACATGTGCGAGTGATCTTTTCTAACTAAGTATTTATTATTTTAGGTGTAGCAGGCTCAGCGCAGTACACGGTCATTGCCACAGACTACACCACCTACGCCGCCATCTTTACCTGCCAGAAGCTTGCGTTCGCGCACCGAAGATCCGCGACGATCCTGTCGCGCGGCAAGGAGCTCGACAAGATGTTTGTTGACAAGGTAGGTCTTGGTCTATCTGCTAGTTCATTGTTATGAAGGAATTTCATTAAATTTAGTTTTACTACTGAGACTTGATTCGACCAAACTTATCCGAGAATAACTCCTGGTATAACTGGCACATTGACAGTTTCAGTATGGGAAATATGTCAAAACTGACGATTTAATCTGAGATTAGGTACTATTTACTCTTGTTTGGTCGAATCCACCCTAAGAGGAGTTGATTACAATCGAAAGTATTTTACAAGTCACGAGTACCTCTAATAACAAATCTTTTTGAGATCGAACGGAAACGTTATTTTTAATGATTGGCAAATATCATTCTGATCAGCCCTTTTTATTGGTTAATTTTGCAAAAATTATAACTAAGCACATAAGTTTTAATAAACTTTTGGTAACTCATAATCCCTCTCTGTATACTTAGAGTAGAGATCTGCAAGTTAAAAGTACAGAGAATGGTTTTTTAAACTATATCTGAAGTTTTGTTTCTGAAATTACAATAAATGTGATGTGACTATCAATTCGAAGTGGCCAACATCTGAAGATTTGTGTAGTTATCCAGGCTATTAAGCCGAATTCACCAAGAATACTTAGTATTTTTATCTCTTGATTTTTCCAGATGCGCACCAAACTGTCTTCCTTCGGCGTAGACCCGTACGACCTGTCCATCATCACGCAGACCGGCTGCCCGCTCCACCCCAATGGGTCCACAGAGGGCGTCAACATCAACATCGATCCCAACACCTTCTCCTCCCATAACATCGGTCAGGCTGTCAGGAAGACTGGAGAGACCATTGGTCAGTATTCCTGTAGTTTTATTATATTTTAAGGGATAGTATTTTCCTCTGATGGAACTTCTGTGTAGCCGTGAGCTACATTACAGCTTGACCACCAATAAAANAGCGCCATCTATGGGATCAATCAGACCAATTTTTATGGTTATAAAACCAAATAATGATTTCACGTGTCGTCTTTAACAGATGGATAGCGATTAATCCCAACTTAACAGTTTTATAGCCATAAAAGTTGGCTCTAGCGTAACTACCTATTTTTTTAAGAAGTGACTCTGGATCCTTCTAAAGACACATTTTTGGGGTAATAACCTTTCCTTTAATGAAATGAAGGTTAGAACTAGGCTTTCAAATGGTGCCAATATTGGTGGGAAGTGGGGAAGCATTCGTTTGAAAATGCTTGTCGCGGGAGGTGCGATTTATTTGATGTCGAGTGTAGTTATGAGATACATAATGCACAATGGAGAAATACAGGGTGTCTCAAAAAGTAGTGTCAAGCCGAAGCCTCACCTTCGGGTAGCTCCAGTGATGCTCTACCTCTGGGTTTCGGCTTGACAATACTTTTTGCTACACCCTGTATACATATATATTACATATGGCAACACTTACCTCAGGGCGCGCGGAGGCGGCCTGTAGGCACAGCGCGGCGTGCTCCAGGTCATCAGCAGTCAGGCCCGACTGGGTGCCGTTGGTGTCTGCCGACAAAGGATATTAATGAGTAAAGTGCCTAGAATACGGTTTCATTTCCTATGTACTTATTTTTATCACTCGAATATTTACGCGGCAGGGCAGTCACTTGATTCATTCGTAGACCTGCGTCTATTAAATTAAATGTACCGTACTTGCCCTGTAACTATACCTAAATGATGTAGATTAAAGTCATCAGCACGAATAACCATAAATGTCAAATTTCTTAAATTTTGTGTCAAAGTAAATAAAGTTTAAATTCGGGTGTCAAATCGTTAAGCGCGCAATGAGGCTCGTAGCTCACTCGGCAGTGTGAACACGCAGACATCATTTAAGACCCGATCAGTATTACAGTCTGATTGAGGCCACACGTTGAATGGAGAAATAGCATTTGAGGCGATATTGGCGCCAAAGTGAGGCCGCACTTTGGAGAAGTATCATTTTGGCCAACATTGTCTCCAACTTGCCCTAGCGCTGTGATCGTTTAGGCTACTCCCTCCACCCGCTTTGCACCCTGCCAATAGTTCCAGGTCGTCCAAGGAAAAGTCGAAGGAACCCGATCGCGTGGCAGGTCACCAATGCGCTGGACCGACCGAGTGAAATCAGCAGTGGGAGACGGCGTGTGTGACTGCACCAGACAGTCTGCCAATAGAGAGAGATGGATTTCGTGCGGAGAGTTGTATCCGCCTCTACAACCGATGTGAACAACGCCTTAACGTGACCACGACCGCTCTGCTAAGAGCGTAATGAATAAGAAAAATAGTTCCCTAGTGACAGAGTAAATACAAATGAGTAGGTCATCTTCATAGAAACGCACCGAGCGCGGTTTGTATATGAGCGCGCCAATATACGTATGCGGCGCGCACGCACACACTGAAAAAATTCGGCGCAACCACTATTCCGATATTAAATATTGTCAGTGTGTGCGTGCGCGCCGCATACGTATTGGCGCGCTCACATACAAACCGCGGCCGGTGCGTTTCTATGAAGACAAGCTACTCATTTGTATTTACTCTGGTATTACAGTCTGATTGAGGCCACACCTTGCTGAAGTCACATTTGGGCCAACATTGGTGCCAACATATACGGCCAGTCAGAGATTTGGGCCAACATTGGTGCTAACATATACGGCCAGTCACAGTTCCCCTGTCACGTCACTCACTGGCTCGCAGCTTGTGGTGGGCGAGCAGTCGCGCGGCGAGGTGCAGCGCGCGCGCGGCGGCGGCGGGCGGCAGGCGCAGCGCCAGCTTGGCCAGCGCTGAGCACGCACACGCTGCCGTGAACGACTCGCCGCTATGCAGCGCTGTGATCGTTTAGGCTACTCCCTCCAGCCGCTTTGCACGCTGCCTATAGTTCCCTAGTGACGTCACTCACTGGCTCGCCGCTTGTGGTGCGCCAGCAGACGCACGCCGCCGTAAATGACACGCCACTGCGCAACGCTGTGACCGTTTAGGCTATTCCCTCCAGCCGCTTCGCACCCTGCCTATAGTCCACTAGTGACGTCACTCACTGGCTCGCCGCTTGTGGTGCGCGAGCCAGTAAGTGACGTCACTAGGGAATCGTCGCGCGCGCTGCGGCGAGGTGCAGTGGGCACGTAGAATTTTGTCCAATGACCTCTAGCTACCCATCCTTATCGCTTGCGCGTAATTATGTTGCTGTCGCAACTGTGCGACGGGCGCCTGCAGTGAGTGTGCGAGCGCGACAGCAACATAATTACGCGCGAGCGATAAGGATGGGTAGCTTGGGGTCATTGGACAAAATTGTACGTGCTCACGGACCAGACTTTAGGCTACTCCCTCCAGCCTCTTTGCACCCTGCCAATAGTTACCTAGTGAGTGCACTCAAAATTCATGGCTCCCCGCTAATCCACGCTAAATTTTGTCAGTGTGTGCGTGCGCGCCGCATACGTATTGGCGTGCTCTCATACAAACCACGCCCTATGACGATAACCTACTCATTTGTATTTACTCTGCTAATGACGTCACTCACTGGCTCGCAGCTTGTGGTGGGCGAGCAGTCGCGCGGCGAGGTGCAACGCTCGCGCGGCGGCGGCGGGCGGCAGGCGCAGCGCCAGCTTGGCCAGCGCTGAGCACGCGCACGCTGCCGTGAACGACTCACCGCTACGCAGCGCTGTGATCGTTTAGGCTACTCCCTCCACTCACTTTGTACCCTGCCAATGTCCACTAGTGACGTCACTCACTGGCTTGCAGCTTGTGGTGCGCCAGCAGACGCACGCCGCCGTGTATGATTCACCGCTGCGCAGCGCTGTGACCGGTTAGGCTATTCGCTCCACTCCACTCGCTTTGCACGCTGCCTATACTATAGGGAACTATTCTAGTGACGTCACTCACTGGCTCGCAGCTTGTGGTGGGCGAGTAGTCGCGCGGCGAGGTGTAGCGCGCGCGCGGCGGCGGCGGGCGGCAGGCGCAGCGCCAGCTTGGCCAGCGCTGAGCACGCGCACGCCGCTGTGAACGACTCGCCGCTGCGCAGCGCTGTGCTGAGGCCGGATTCGGCGTTTGTTGTTGCGCTGGACGACCTGTGAGAGAAACGAACATCTGTCATCATCGAGTCATTGAATCTTCATTACCGGAACACAATCCTCTGGGAAACAACAGGAGGATTTAACCTATAGTTCCAAAATACTGAACTGTCCTATCCATGACATTGACAGTGGGGCGCCACCATAAATACCGAATTTTTGCCATGTTGAAAACCATTTAGTTGAACGATGGTAGCGCCCCCCTGTCATTGAGTTTTGTGGGACAGTTCAGTGTGGGTCATCTACAGGGTGTTAGGTAAATGGGTATATGAGCCGAGACCAGCCCATGTTAACATAGTCATATAAATACTATAGTGGTGTCAGAAAGTCTGGGAAAGGTACCATTATTGAGTAATCAGCTGATTCAGTTTTTGTCGCCAAATTGCGTCGTGACACCCCTGAAAATTAATAGTACGACAAACTAGCGTAGATAAAACAATAACAGGATTCATTATAATTTTCTGCCTAAAAATTTGTCTCTGAGAGGCAAAAACCTTAAGCAATCCCCCAGGAAAATCAGTCCATCTAAAAAGATTTAGCACAAGTCAAATACTCCCTTACCTTATTTGATTCGATTTGGATTTTGGATAAGTAAAAGTANTAAAACAGTTTCGTTTGGAAAATTATCTGTGTCAGCTAACTCCATACTTTTGACTAAAATCGCTCCAGCTGTTTAGACGTGAAGGAGTAACAAACATACACACTGTGATAGTGGGATTATTTTATGACTAGCGGCCGCCCGCGACTTCGTACGCGTGGATCCCGTTTTACCCCCTTAGGGGTGGAGTCTCGTAAAATCCTTTCTTAGCGAATGCCTACGTCATAAAATTTACCTGCATGTCTTTCAGCCCGATTCGTCCAGTTGAAGTGGTTTGGGCTGTGCGTGTGTTGATAGATTACAATGTCAGTCAGTCAGTCAGTCACCTTTTTTGAGTTATATATATTTAGAAGACTAATGAAACTCATCCCACCTTTCCAGCTCCTGGGTGTATGGTACGTCATCCAGAAAACATCAACGGCTTCTCACTGCATCACGTACAACTTCACCAAGACGCCCGAGCCCGGGAAGTATGAGCTGGAACAGGTCTCCCAGCACTTCATCTTGGGATTGACTCCGTTGAAGCATGATTACAGGTTTGTTACTTTCAGTTATCTATAATGCCCTCAATCTATTTGACAACGAACTGACTTACCCCAAGACAAAGAAACATGATTCCCGATTGCAAAAAACCCTTCTGAATCTTTAAGGTAACTTATGTTTTTCATCCACATCGGGAAAGGTCTTGATCAGCGTCTATTTGATGTGATGATGATGATTCTGGACGGCATTTGATGGACGCCTACCCTCTTGCTCCTTCAGTTACCAAAAATTCAGTTCAATTTGCTGAATAAATTACATAAGTTCATAACCAAGATATTTATACTTTATTTCTTGTCTTAAGTGTAAGAAAAGGTTTATGGATGTAATGGTTTTATAACTTTAGAATCTAAATTTTTCTAGAGTCTACACAATTGCTTCACAGGGCCATGTATTAGTTGTTACCACCAAGTATGAAAACTATTGTATGAAAAATAAGACTGGAGCGAAGTAGTTTCGTTACTTCTTAGGAGGGCTGGCTGTTTGCATTTCGCATGAGCCTTTATAAATGTGATTAGATTTATACATGGTAAAGACTATTCATTTTGGGAACTAATTATTGGGCGATAGAATACGTACCTACCCTACCTACTATAGGAATTCATATCTTTCAGATACACCGGTATCCTGACAGTCCCGGACCCAGCTGTTCCTGCAAGGATGAAAGTGCGATTCCCTCTTAGTAAGTACATATTATTGATAATTTTCTTTCTTCTTCACTACTTTAAATCAGAATTTCCTAATTGGATAACCTACAATGTTACTACAATACTACCTATCTACTAGGTAATTCTGTGAAATGACGTAAGGTAAGACCAAATTCCTTTAATATCATTAACAGTGAGCACCCTCTTATGTGTAGGAGGTAAACTGTACTAGAATGTTCCTCATTCCTAATAGAACTTGCCTATCTAAGTCTAACGGTAGAGCCATTTATAGATATTACATTCATAACAGTTTATGTACCTACTATCTGAAATGTTTAATACTGACCTTATAGTTTTATCTTACCAGTAAATAAATAGGATGCTAGTAAATCTTACATAAGTTATCATCATAGGTACGTATAGGCATTTTCTTATGATGAGGAAATTATTTATAGAGGATTTGTAATTGACTCAGCAATCCATTGATGGTATTTCTAGTACCTACATATACTTATGTAAAGTACTTACTCTGTAATGGGATATAAATATTCCTACACGTTCTGTTGACAAATAGCAAATGCTGTAGTCATGTTACTTAAACCGGTGCTTTTACTTCAACCTTCTATTCAAAAACATTGCGTGTGGACTGAGTGATCTTTCCTATCATCATCATAATCATCTCAGCCATAGGACGTCCACTGCTGAACATAGGCCTCCCCCAATGCTTTCCATGTTGATCGATTGGCGCTACCAATTGGTAGCGGCCTGCGTCCAGCGCTTCCCTGCTACCTTTACGATGTCGTCGGTCCACCTTGTAGGTGGACGTCCCGGCGTTTTCCGGTACGCGGCCTCCATTCCAGAACCTTGCTGCTCCATCGGCCGTCAGTTCTGCGTACTATGTGCCCTGCCCATTGCCACTTCAGCTTGCTAATCCGTCGGGCTATGTCAGCGACTTTAGTTCGTTTACGGATCTCCTCATTTCTTGATATTTTGTAAATATTTATTATTTTAGGTGTAGCAGGCTCAGCGCAGTACACGGTCATTGCCACAGACTACACCACCTACGCCGCCATCTTCACCTGCCAGAAACTTGCGTTCGCGCACCGAAGATCCGCGACGATCCTGTCGCGCGGCAAGGAGCTCGACAAGATGTTTGTTGACAAGGTAGGTCTAGACACAGTAGATAAATTAAACAGTACGGAAGCTTCATACAAACGCTCGAAATCAGACTCACGCACACAGACGCACGCTTTACACGAGCTCTAAGCGAACCTCGCAGTCCATCCGTCGCGAGTGTCGCGCGCGTTGTGTTTTTAATAATAATTTTATTGCATGCACTGTCCGCTGTATTTTTAAAAACATGCCACGAGTGTATTGCGTAGTATACGGCTGCTTGAACTCGACATCTTCAAAACCAGAACTTTCATTTTTTAAACTTCGTAATAATTCTGAATTGTAAGAATGATTATATTACTTTTTTTAAATAAAGTGCTTACATCTGGTTTTGTAATAGTTCTTTTTAAATTACGTAATTACGCTTTTTAACATTTTATGTGTTCTATTTGATAAAGTAATTTGCTCCGCACGCTTTTGTACTAAGTGATGAACTGTATTTAAAATGAGGCAATAGGTATGTGAAAGTAAGTATCCGGTATTTTATTTGTGAGAATAGATCTCCTACCGGCCTCTAATAGTACTTAATCAATTTATTCGATTATGTATTCGATCATTATAGTACCTAATTAACGATTTATTTTTTTGTTAACTACTTAGTCAATTAATTTATTCCATTAGGTATTTGATAATTAAAAAACCTAAATAAACGTTTTAATAAATAAGTAAGTAAGAATCTTATTAATTTTATAAAGATTAAGAGTGCCAACCCTAACGCTCGGTTGAAGTGTAGGTATTTAACTCGCCGAAAGGGCTTAGTTTCCGTACTGCTTTAGCTCATATATATACTGTGGTCTAGATCTACCTATAAACCTAGGTTTATTTGCTAGTTCATTGTTAAGTAAGAATTACGTTAAATTTAGTTTTACTACTAAGGCCGGATTCGACCAAACTTTTATCCGAGAATAACTCCTGGTATAACTGGCATATTGACAGTTTCAGCCCCCCTAGACAAAACGCACTTTTTGATCGAATCGAAAATCGAATCCGTCAAAACTCCATACAAAAAAGGGGCTTTTCGACCACTTTTCGACTGGTTTGCGATTATAATTTGCACTTTGTCTAGACCCACAGTATGGGAAATATGTCAAAACTGACGATTTATTCTGAGATTAATTTTTACTCTTGTTTGGTCGCATTCACCCTAAGAGGAATTGACTATAAAGGAAAGTACATATTTAACAAGTCACGAGTACCTCTAATACCAAATATTTTTGAGATGAAAACGGAAACGTTATTTTTAATCATTGGCAAATATCCTACTGATCAGCCCTATTCATTGGTTAATTTTGCGAAAATTATAACTAAGCACATAAGTTTTAATAAAGTTTTGGTAACTCATAATCCCTCTCTGTATACTTAGAGTAGAGATCTGCAAGTTAAAAGTACAGAGAATAGTTTTTTAAACTATATCTGAAGTTTTGTTTCTGAAATTACAATAAATGTGATGTGACTATCAATTCGAAGTCGCCAACGTTTGAAGAGTTGCCTCTAGTTATCCTGCTATTAAGCCGATTTCACCAAGAATACTTAATATTTTTATCTCTTGATTTTTCCAGATGCGCACCAAACTGTCTTCCTTCGGCGTAGACCCGTACGACCTGTCCATCATCACGCAGACCGGCTGCCCGCTCCACCCTAACGGGTCCACAGAGGGCGTAAACATCAACATCGATCCCAACACTTTCTCCTCCCATAACATCGGTCAGGCTGTCAGGAAGACTGGAGAGACCATTGGTCAGTATTCCTGTAGTTTTATTATATGTTAAGGGATATTATTTTCCTCTGATGGAACTTCTGTGTAGCCGTGAGTTACATTACAGCTTGACCAACAATAAAAACTAAACCAGTGAAGGCCAGGTTTGAAAAAGCATAACATCGGAAACCACAACTGATTCTTATATGTAGAGTTTACTGTTAAAAGAAGATAATGCACACGCATTTGCTTTTCTAGAATATTGTGTATTTGAGCTGAGCTGGACATTGAATTTAAGTCTTGATATTTTAAAGGATTTCTCATTAAAATCTGAAGGAACTAATTCTGGTTTTGCATAAAAAAAAATGGAGGTAGGCAATTATCATAATAAGCCTGAGATTCATATCATTTTCATGTTCTCTGTGTCTTTTGGTCTAGAGTAGCCCCATAAGCAATACCCCCAGTAGACTGTTATTGATATTTACATAGATGATATCATTGTACTATCTATGTATCCCGTTTACCATAATATTATTATTGTCTCACTCAAAGGATGTAGACGATGTAGTTTCATAAACTTTGTCTAATGTATTACTGGAGGAAAATAGAAATCGATTGGGTTTCCCAACTTTATTTTACGTTTTAACTTTGATTATAACAGCTATTTTTAATTTTCAGCTGACGGAGTGGAATACGTCGTAGAAGCAGGCAAGAAGGTTTACCACAAGGTAGCCAGCAGCAAGGAGGATCTCACCGAGACGCCCACGCATGGGCGTGAACGTAACCTTGATATGGACGCTGAGTGGTTACCTTGAAGAAGTTCCTCTCTTAGTTTAGGTTTAAAGGAGGCTATATCGGATACATAGACAACAGATGATACGCAAAGACAACAATCTGATGTAAAGAACCTTATATTGATTAAAATAGTTTGTAAGTAGGTACTACTTTTTTGAAATTAAACGTAACTACGGTCACCACTAAAAGTTAAGACATTTATGTAAAGTGGTGAATTTTTTAAATTTAGCTTCTTCTCAGCATCATCATCATCTCAGCCATAGGACGTCCACCCCAATGCTTTCCATGTTGCCCGGTTGGTAGTGGCCTGCGTTCAGCGCTTTCCTACTACCTGCTTCTTAGCATACCAGCCGATAAATGTTGTCCAGAAGTGGTGGTATGATAAGCTATATTGGGACGTATAAAAGTGCCCCGAAAAGGGCATACTTAGAAGAATTGGAACAAGATCATTTTGTCGTCAAGAAGTCTCCAAATACTCATAGAAAAATTGCCAATACAAAATCCTTCTAGTATAATTTAGTACTACTTATTCCTATTATTATATACAAGAGATTTAAACCAAATACTCAGGTATTAAAGACGTTTGTGATCTTTGCCATAATTTATATTTTATGTAGAGTAAGTGATATCATTTCAAACATTATTGTTTAAAGCTAAGGTGCTTTACTTGTCCTAATATTGATCAAGCAATACAGGTGCAATAAAAACATTACATAATACATTGATTGCATTTTTATTACTCCATAAAATGTTTTATTAATATTTCAATTACAGGCTTAACTGAGCATAACAACTGTTAATTTATAGTTTCATTCCATAACTCAAAAGGAAAAGGTTTTGGTGTCCATTAGTCTGTCTGTCTATAAACGCCCTTTTTTCTCAGGAACGCGTAGAGGTATTAAGTTGAAACAACAAATAGATACTTGAAGCTGCACCATAATTATTTTATATAAAAACACCAAAAGCCTTATAAAAAACACCGGTTATATTTACAGATGGGCCAAGTTATGATGATGCAACTCAGCCTGAGTCTTCTTAGTGAAAGCAATGAATGAATGAATTAATATAATGTCAGACCAGGGTTCATGTAGTGTTACTAACGATGTTAGTAAATACTAACAAAAGTTATAAAAGGAATTACATAAGTAGAAGCGAGAGTCGCTACGTCAGCTTGGTGGCATGCATTGCACGCTATGGGATAGGGATGGATATCCGTAACCTTAACCGAAACTATCGGATATCCGAAATAAAGAAATATCCGTAACCGAAACCGGTATAGTATTATTATAATATCCGTAACCGTATCCATAACCGAAACTTCATATTCTTAACATCCCTGGCGTGTCCCAGAATCGGCGAGTCTTCCTTGTCAGCCAATGCCTTCAGGATACCCTTTGTACTGAAGCGGAGTCGCTATAGGAGCGGTGCGCTCCGCTTCCGAACGCGTGGAAGTCATGGAAGGCCAAGTATATCGTTCGTTCGTTCGTTTCAGCCAAATGACGTCCACTACTGGACAAAGGCCTCCCCCAAGGTTTTCCACAATGCACGTGTCCTGCGCTGTCCGCATCCAGGCTCTTCCCGCGACCTTTACCAGATCGTCGGTCCACCTAGTGGGAGGCCTGTCCAGCCCGTGGTCGCCACTCGACAACTTTCCTTCCAACGGCAATTATAAATAATAGTAAATACATTTGATTACTGCATAAAAACTTAGTCTAGGTAGTGCATGTTTGGTTTCAAATAGAAACATTTATTTGCATACAAGGTCTATATTATAATTTATAAATAGTGCTTACTATTCTGCTTTACATTTTCAACATGCAAAATGGTCATTAAAAAGTGATTGATATAATTTATAAGATACAGCAGTCTATCAGGCAATTCTTGAGATTTCGTAGTAATGCATTACACATACTGTAGGTTTTCTTGTAGCATCTTTTCTTGTGTAGCGAGATTTTTGGAGAAAAAAATATTACAAGTCTGCTTAGAAATGTAGTACTTATTTCTTGGGTTGTATATCCCTTGCCCTTAAAAATAGGTAAGAATGACTTGAAGCTCTTTAGAATGTACGTACCTACATCCTTCCATAAACGGGGAACCGGACGCAGGTTAGCGTACCATCTCTACATTGTCGACATCCCACCAGCTCGCACTAAGGGTTTAGATAAACTCTTTTATAATGCGAACAGCTAGGGACTAGAATTCGCTGCCTGCTGCTGTCATTCCCGAACAATATAATCCGGGCTTCTTCAAGGCGAGAGTGAATAGGCACTTACAGGGCAGATATTTACCAACCTAGACTGCATCTCACTTAACACCAGGTGCGATTGCGGTCAAATACCTGCCTTGTTATGCATTTATAAAAACATGTTGGGGACGGTAAAAACTCGCAGTTTAATGAGTCAGAGGCTCAGAGGGTCGTAGCCACGATAGCCCAACGGTGAAGTGGTCGGACTGGGCGATTCGAGATCCGAGGAACACGGGTTCGAATCCCACCGCCGCTCGACTACTCGTATTGTGGTAGGGGCTAACGGGACTATTAGTAATTTGTGCAATACAAATTGCTAATAATCTTAAAAAAAAAACTCAATTAAATTAGTGTGCGAAAATAATTAATGATACCTAAACTAAGCCAAAAACATCGCATTCTTCTAGATAGGTAGTGACCGGGACCGCGGTGAGCCTCACTGACAGAACATAGGACCACAGTATATATATGAGCTAAAGCAGTACGGAAACTTAGCCCTTTCGGCGAGTTAAATACCTACACTTCAACTGAGTGTTAGGGTTGGCACTCTTAATCTTTATAAAATTAATAAGGTTCTTACTAACTTATTTATTAAAACGTTTATTTAGGTTTTTTAATTATCAAATACCTAATGGAATAAATTAATTGACTAAGTAGTTAACAAAAAATACAACGTTAATTAGATTCTATAATGATCGAATACATAATCGAATAAATTGATTAAGTACTATTAGAGGCCGGTAGAAGATCTATTCTCAAAAAATATAAAATACCGGATACTTATTTTCACATACCTATTGCCTCATTTTAAATACAGTTCATTACTTAGTACATAAGCGTGCGGAGCAAATTACTTTATCAAATAGAACACATAAATTGTTAAAAAGCGTAATTACGTAATTTAAAAAGAACTATTACAAAATCAGATGTAAACAAGCACTATTTAAAAAGTAATAGGTATTTAATCATTTTTACAATTCAGAATTATTACGAAGTTTAAAAAATGAAAGTTCTGGTTTTGTAGATGCCGTGTTCAAGCAGCCGTATACTACGCAATACACTCGTGGCATGTTTTTAAAAATACAGCGGACAGTGCATGCAATAAAATTATTATTAAAAACACAAAGCGCGCGACACTCGCGACGGATGGACTGCGAGGTTCGCGTGCTCGTGTAAAGCGTGCGTCTGTGTGCGTGAGTCTGGTTTCGAGCGTTTGTAGGAAGCTTCCGTACTGTTTGATTTATCTACTGTGATAGGACTCTGGCTGACCACACTCTAGCGCAGGACGTTCGGCTTCATTCGGGACGCTCAGGCCTTACTGTGCCGGAGATAGGCCCCCTTAATTGATATTTATTGTCCGTGGTGCATAATCTTTTCTTAAAGGTTTTAAACCTTTGTTTGTCACCTGTCATCCGCTTTGCAATGGAGGGAAGTCGAACCTTAATTTCGAACTCCTCCTATGTTCTTCTGATTAATTTCGTTGCGGGTCCAATGACAGTTTAACTTTCCCCCGGGACAAACTTGACCTTCATTGGTTGGGTTTTTGTGGCGGTCAAGCTGTAGATCCTGGCTACACAGGAGTTGCAGTGGTNATGGCGGTCAAGCTGTAGATCCTGGCTACACAGGAGTTGCAGTGGTGGGAGCGAGAGGTGGGAATAGTCCCGTTACTGTGCCGGAACCGCAGTAGTGGCCTCCACGCGAATGACTTCTACCTCATTTTAATTACAAATACTGAATTATGGCACTAAGTGCGCCTAATGTACTGTGATTTATGTGCATATATACTCGTATAAGTTTAAAAATAATTAAATTAGACGTAATTCTATTCAGTTCCAATAAAGTCAAAATAAATTCGACGAATTAATCAATTATTTATGTAGACCGTATTCTTAATTCAAATAGGCTATTGTGCTAACTGGCAACTTGAAATAATAATTATGGTTCTGTAGAAAAAGAAAAAGTATGAAATAGATTTTTTGTGGTTTGGTAACTCGCTGTTCCGGTGAAGTTCGTGCCGCCATTTTTTATTGAAACACCATTTATATAACTTGAAAAAATCGGAAATGTCTAAGGCGGATCCATCCAACCCACGATTCATCCAGTGTCTAATTTGTATCAGTAACAATTAAGGCTTTAAGATCTGCTTTATAAAACTAGCAGTGCTATGTATTCTAGCAAATAAATTGCTGAATTTGAGTTCCAGATTTTTTTATTTGCTGTGCCCTAAATTTTGGCTGTTGAGTATAAAAAGACTTGTGTGTCGACACCGAAATTCACTTCCTTAATTTAAATAATTGTTTCATTATCAAAGAACTCGTCATTGAACCAATTTACTTTATAGGTTGTGATCTTGTAACTACTTGTAAAGTAGGTACCTATATACTTTTAAAAATGGTAGTGGCAAAAGAACAAAACGGTAAATTTGACTACAAGATGAACGGGGAAAGAGTCGTGATCTCCGGAATGTCAGGACTTTACCCACGGGCTAATAATATAAAGGAGCTATCAGAAACTCTTTACAACAAGGTAAGATTCAAAGTAGCACTTTTCTAAAATGTGCGGAATATTAGTCTACAAGCTTTTGCCCACGGCTTCACCCGCGTGAAATATAGTTTTTCACATATCGTCATAAATTATAGCCTTTATGTTATTCTGGGTTATAAACAATAATAGTTATTGTGAAGTTTCATTAAAATTCGTTCCCTACTTTTTGCATGAAAGAGTAAGGGCTATATTTCACCGGGACACCACGGCGGTGCAACCAGTCGCCGCTGCCAACAAAATGTATGCAGCTTTGCGCAACCAAACGGACACCAGGTGAGGTACATTTTGTTGGTAGTCGGCGACTGGTTGCGCCGCCATGGTGTCCCGGTGAAATATAGCCCTAACAAACAGGTTAACATCCACACAAACTTTTCCATTTATAATATTGTAGGATAGGATAATACTAAGTATGGAATCTGCCATTTTTTACCTGTCTTATCATTTTTACTGACCTTTAGACTGAAGCTGTTGATCTTTTTACAATGGAAGTTCGTTGTTGGAAATGGGATAAAAAATACAGAAAAGACAGCTATTTCTCATAAATGTTGATAAAAGATTTCATAATTGAATCGTATCCCTTCAGAAAAATCCCATAACCTCTGGAAGCAAGCGCTGGACATTCAATCACCCGGAGGTATCCCGGTACACGGGCGACGTGCCTCAGCTGGGTCGTTTCGATGCTCAGTTCTTTGGAGTGCACTTCAGGCTTGCCAGTAACATGGACTTCATGTCGAGGAAAATTATGGAGCAGACGTTCCAAGCCATTTACGATGCTGGTAACTATCACCAAATTACATACAGGGTGTCCCAGAATGGGTGAATCAAACTGCTAGGGAAGGTAGCTCTGCTAATGTACTATCCCTAAAGATATGAAAAAAAAAATTGAGTTCGGATTTTTTTTTTAATAAAGTGCTCTAAAACTCGTAATCTAGTCATTATTTTAAAAGTTTGTTTACAGTTATACGAAGCGATCATGTACAATTAATATTAGTAAGAAAAATGTATAAATAAACTCCAAACGCAGCAATTATAGCCAGATACTTTGGCAAATCTGATTTATTTTCAGTTTAAAAAAAAATGTGTTCTTATGCGCTTTATTTTTTTTCATATTTTTTAGGGATAGTACCTACATTAGTAGAGCTACCTCCCCTAGCAGTTTGAGTCACCCATTCTGGGACACCCTGTATAATATCGTGTGTAAAATGTCACCTGTCTGTCTGTTTTTCATTGAAGAAAAGCAGGACAACAGTAAGAATTTATTTCCTTTATAGGCTTGAATCCAGAGCACCTCTCTGGAAAAAAAGTTGGAGTCTACGTCGGGACATGTTTCTCTGAAACCGAAAAGGCATCCTTCTACGTTGCCACCTCTAAAACAGGATTTGGCATAGTTGGGTATGTAATGAAACAAATGGAAATTCAAGCTGTTGAATATTACGATCAAACTGGCATAATAATGACGTCATATCCAGGGATGATTTCGATCAAACGTTCAGTGGTAGATAGTTAAATAGATATTTATTTGCATCACCACAATGTAACATAGGTGAATAAAATTATAATAAAAATAAACTTTTTTAAAAACAAGCTTTTATTCTGAATTTCGAAAGCTTGTATCGCGCATGGAATTTATTCCTCTTTTTCTCTGTTTGCGCTACAAGCTTTCGAAATTCAGAATAAAAGCTTGTTTTAAAAAAAGTTTATTTTTATTATAATTTTATTTTACACTTTTTAGCTATATCTTAATCTCAGGACCCTGGACATTATCTAACACTAAAGTGCTCGAAAAGACAATTCCAACGAACCCAAACTCGATGAGTTTCCGCCGTTTTGTTTAGGGAGTTCCTATGGCCACCTTCCGTCACCATTATCAGACCAGCTCAATGGTACCATAATATTGCATTGTCATCGTACTTCCATAAGTATACCAAATTTCAACTCAATCGGTTGAGGAGAAGTGGTCTTAAATTCAGTTGCAAGATTTGTCCCACACATACTAACAAGTGAAGTCAATATAAAGCTTGTAAAAAGCTTGTAATCAAAATGGATAGGCTTAAAGCTAAATAGATCATTATGGACCCTGTCGGGCAATGCAATTAGAAGGGAAAAGGATTTACTAATTAATCACAATTTGAACTATTAAAAATCAACTTATGCAATACTGGTAAAGTCCAAAAGGAGATTTAGTAGGCAGTCACTGCCGAGTTGCAGAGTTTGCATCTCTATTTCTAATAATGTTCAAGCAGTTCTGTGCAGAGTAAAGGCTTTCGAGATCTGTAAATCATTATTTTCTTACAGATGTAGCAAAGCCATGTTTGCAAACCGTATCTCTTACTGGCTGAACGCTAAAGGCCCNGGGTCCAATGACAGTTTAACTTTCCCCCGGGACAAACTTGACCTTCATTGGTTGGGTTTTTGTGGCGGTCAAGCTGTAGATCCTGGCTACACAGGAGTTGCAGTGGTGGGAACGAGAGGTGGGAATAGTCCCGTTACTGTGCCGGAACCGCAGTAGTGGCCTCCACGCGAATGACTCCTACCTCATTTTAAATACAAATACTGAATTATGGCACTAAGTGCGCCTAATGTACTGTGATTTATGTGCATATATACTCGTATAAGTTTAAAAATAATTAAATTAGACGTAATTCTATTCAGTTCCAATAAAGTCAAAATAAATTCGACGAATTAATGAATTATTTATGTAGACCGTATTCTTAATTCAAATAGGCTATTGTGCTAACTGGCAACTTGAAATAATATGGTCCCGTAGAAAAAGAAAAAGTAAGTATGGAAACAGATTTTTTGTGGTTTGGTAACTCGTTGTCCCGGTGAAGTTCGTGCCGCCATTTTTGATTGAAACACCATACTTAATAACTTGAAAAAATCGGAAATGTCTAAGGCGGGAATCGAACCCACGATCCATCCAGTGTCTAATTAAATATCAGTAATGATTAAATAGCTTTAAGATCTGCTTTGTAAAACTAGCATGAAATGTGCTATGTAGGTATTCTAGCAAATAAATTGTTGAATTCCAGATTTTTTATTTGCTGTGCCCTAAATTTTGGCTGTTGAGTATAAAAAGACTTGTGTGTCGACACGGAAATTCAGTTCCTTATTTTAATTAATTGTTTCATTGTCAAAGAACTCGTCATTGAACCATTTTTTTAAAGGTTGTGTTTTTGTACTACTTGTAAAGTTAGGCATATATGTACTTTAAAAATGGTAGTGGCAAAAGAACAAAACGGTAAATTTGAGTACAAGATGGACGGGGAAAGAGTCGTGATATCCGGGATGTCAGGACTATATCCACGGGCTAATAATGTAAAGGAGCTATCAGAAACTCTTTACAACAAGGTAAGATCCAAAGTAGCACTTAACTAAAACATGCGGAATAGTAGGGGGAGTCCGGGAGAGTTTAGCAGGTGGGAGACAATAGCCACTGCTCATAGAATTTTTGTGGAACTACTTAAATATTGCGACGTAGCCACACTTCTTAGACTCCATAGGCGCGTCCCACCTCGCTCACGCATTGCCGATGCGATTGGCAGTTTGGTTTAGGAGTGACAAGTGATAACACAATTTCGAGCCCGGAAACTAACTAACTAACTATATAACTTTTTTCAATTTTCGATATTTGATTTCAGTTGTTTACTATGAATACATACCAACATGTCATTTATATACATCGTAAATGTAATTACCCTAGTTCCATTTACAGTAGACATTTTTTACTTAAGTGTTATAGTTTTTTAAAAAATGTAATAATGAACAGCTTGGCCTGGGGTGGGAGACATTAGCCTGGCATCGGGAGGAGACTTTACCCAGGGTAATCTGGTACTTTTATTGCAGATAATCATCCAAAATGCCTTTCAAATATAAAAAGGAACATCTAGAAACAGGATCAATTTAGATCTTTCAGTAATAAGAAATGCTATAGGTATGTAACATTGATAAAGGAAAATTTTAGAGGTGTTGCCCCAGTAGAAACCAGTTTATCCAGATCAACCAGTTTTAATAGAAAAAACGATGCTGATTTTTTTAAAAACCTCAAAGAATTAAATTGTTACACATTTTCATTCAAGAAGATTAAATTTCTTTATAGAATTATAATTTGTAGTGATTATTTTGCTTATTTTTAAACCCGGCTAAAGGCTCCCTACTTGGGGGGTCAAGTCTCCCACCCAGGCGGGAGATATTAGCCAAATATCACTTTGGTTAAAATTGTTAATTACTCTTAAACTAATAATGATGTGTTAAAGTTTCTTAGAAGAAAATATAGCTAAATAATGTAGCTTAAGATACAATTAATAAAAAATAGCGATTTGTAAGTATAGAAATATTTATGAGCATTTTAGTGGAAGGCGGGTAAACTCTCCCGGACTCCCCAGTGTTGATTTCAATTCTTGCCATATTTAGGGTAGCTTATTCTGATCCCGAATCAGTAAAAAATTTACTTCGAAAAAAATTTTAAAACGAATTTTAACTTAATATAAGTTATTCAAAGAAAAATAAGTACATATTTACACTACCCACTTTACGTGGCTTCCTTCACTAGGCTATCCGACATGCTACTAAACGCATTGCAGTATGGAGAGCAGTACAGTTGATGTCACACGGAAAATATTTGCTAAAAATTCCACTTCAGTTTGTAATTTTTTTTGTGGATACCTAGATCACCTAAATAAATATGGCGAGTATTAAAATCAACACCCTGTATACTGTATTGAATACCAGCGGCCGCCCGCGACTTCGTACGCGTGGATCCCGTTTTACCCCCTTCATTTATCTTACGCGGTTCAGATTTTTTCATACAAATGTTTTTTCCCGCTAACTCCCGTTCCCGTGGGAATTTTGCAATATCCTGTTGTAACTAAGCTTTAAGTTTACTAAGGTACCTGCATGCCAAATTTCAAGCGTCTAACTTAAACGGTTTAGATTTTTCATACAAAAGGATTTTCCCGCTAATTCCCGTTCCCGTGGGAATTCTTAAGTATACTATGACCTGCCCAGGAGTATGAAGAATAATTGTACCAAGTTTTGTTAAAATCCGTCGAGTAGTTTCTGTTTCTATAAGGCACATACAGACAGACAGACAGAAAAAAAAATTACTGATTGCATTTTTGGCATCAGTATCGATCACTAATCACCCCCTGATAGTTATTTTGAAAATATTATATTTCATGTACAGAATTGACCTCTCTACAGATTTATTATAAGTAGGTATAGATGACATCTTTATAGGTTGGCTATATTCTTACTGACCTTTAGATTGAAACTGTTGATCTTTTCACAATGGACAAGTTTCGTGATACTGAAAACATTATATTATGTCACTAAATGGGATAAAAATACAGAATAGACAGCTATTTCTCATAAATGTTGATAAAAGACTTCATAATTGAATCGTATCCCTTCAGAAAAATCCCATAACCTCTGGAAGCAAGCGCTGGACATTCAATCACCCGGAGGTATCCCGGTACACGGGCGACGTGCCTCAGCTGGGTCGTTTCGATGCTCAGTTCTTTGGAGTGCACTTCAGGCTTGCCAGTAACATGGACTTCATGTCGAGGAAAATGATGGAGCAGACGTTCCAAGCCATTTACGATGCTGGTAACTATCACCAAATTACATACAGGGTGTCCCAGAATGGGTGAATCAAACTGCTAGGGAAGGTAGCTCTGCTAATGTACTATCCCTAAAAATATGAAAAAAAAATTTTGAGTTCGGATTTTTTTAAAATAAAGTGCTCTAAACTCGAAATCTAGTCATTATTTTAAAAGTTTGTTTACAGTTATACGAAGCTTGACTTATGGTCCTATGTCCCCTAGATGGGGCAGAGGGCGTCCACAACAGTCCTCCATCTCGTTCGGTCTTGAGCTTCTCGCTTGATCTCTCTCCAGGTCTTGCCGATCTTCTTCGCCTCGTCCGCTACAGTGCGCCGCCAAGTTTGCCTGGGTCGACCACGTTTGCGTTTTCCTTGGGGATTCCAATCCAGAGCCTGCTTAGGGATGTGATCGGGGTCCCTTCGGAGAGTGTGGCCAATCCAGTTCCACTTGCGGCGCTTGATCTGCTGGTCGATCGTTATACGAAGCGATCATGTACAATTAATATTAGTAAGAAAAAAGTACAAATAAACTCCAAACACAGCAATAGCTGATTTATTTTCAGTTTAAAAAAAATTGTGTTCTTATGCGCTTTATTTTTTTTTTCATATTTTTTAGGGATAGTAGTACCTACATTAGTAGAGCTACCTCCCCTAGCAGTTTGATTCACCCATTCTGGGACACCCTGTATAATATCGTGTGTAAAATGTCATCTGTCTGTCTGTTTTTCATTGAAAAAAAATCAGGACAACAGTAAGAATTTATTTCCTTTATAGGCTTGAATCCAGAGCACCTCTCTGGGAAAAAAGTTGGAGTCTACGTTGGGACATGTTTCTCTGAAACCGAAAAGGCATCCTTCTACGTTGCCACCTCTAGAACAGGATTTGGCATAGTTGGGTATGTAATGGAACAAATGGAAATTCAAGCTGTTGAATATTACGATCAAACTGTCATAAATGACGTAATATCCAGGGGTGATTTCAATAAACGTTCAGTGGTAGCTAGATAGATATTTATTTGCATCACCATAATGTAACATGGGAGAAAGATAGATAAGGCTTAAAGCTAAATAGATCATTATGGACCCTGTCGGGCAATGCAATTAGAAGAGAGAAGGATCTACTAATTAATCACAATTTGAACTATTAAAAATCAACTTATGCAATACTGGTAAAGTTCAAAAGGAGATTTAGTAGGCAGTGACTGCCGAGTTGCATTCTGCATCTCTATTTCTAATAATGTTCAAGCAGTTCTGTGCAAAGTAAAGGCTTTCGAGATCTGTAAATCATTATTTTCTTACAGATGTAGCAAAGCCATGTTTGCGAACCGTATCTCTTACTGGCTGAACGCTAAAGGCCCATCTACGGCGATCGACCAAGCTTGCTGCAGCTCCACCGTGGCCTTAGAACAGGCATACAAGGCCATAGTTCGAGGGGAATGCGATGCTGCCATTGTAGGAGGCGGTAACTTGACGTTGCATCCACAGTCTATGGTGCATTATGGAAGGTACGTTCCTGGTAAAATATTAAAATTAGACAAGGCACACTGGTGCTTAGTCTGTCTGATGAACATCTTACTAAGCAGCTATTAAAACTCATAAAGAACTCTCATAAAACTCATTTAATTTTGCAAATATTATAGACTTTTATAAAGCACTTTTACCTACCTCTATTCATA